CTGTCTGTGATGACACTCAGGGAACTCCCTCTGCACTAGCCATCCCGTGGCACTGGGTAGAGGATGTTGAGCATCAGATATGTGTGGTTCCAGGAGAAAAGAGTAGAATTTGTTTGTAACGTACCACAGAGAAGAAAGGATGCTGATCTCTGAACACAGCAAAGTGTGACCAAGCTGGCTTGTGTGGAAGTGAATAAAATACAGTTTGTGTGGCCCAGGTATGATGACCTCGTGGAGAGTGTGGAGGAATATGTCCTAGACATGCTGCGGGACCAACTCAACCGGCGCCAGCCGATGGACAATGTCTCCAGGAACCTCCTTCGACTGCTGACAGCAACCTGTGGCTACAAGGAGGTGAGGCAGATGGCTGTGCAGAGGCTGGAGATGTGGCTGCAGAATCCAAAGGTAAGGATAAAAGCTGTTGAAGCACACTTCTTCTGGACCTGGTCTGGAATCCAGCCAGGAGGGCCTCATACTGGGTGCCAGTTCTGTTTCTGACCTGTGATGGCAGGCGGCTGTAGCCTTTTTCTTTGTTCTCCCTCTGCAGTTGACCAAGCCAGCTCAGGACTTGCTGATGTCAGTCTGTATGAACTGCAACACCCACAGCTCAGAGGACATGGAAGTTATTTCCAACCTGATCAAAATTCGTCTCAAGCCAAAAGTCCTTCTCAACCACTACATGCTGTGTATCAGGTGAGTGAGTGAGCGGGTCTGGGATGGGAAGAGAAAGCACCTTGGAAGATGTGCCCAGGGCCTTGACGGTCTCAGTGTCTCTGCAGAGTGGTTTTAAATACCAGCATGGACCATGGGGTGTCCTGTGTAACATGAAATGAACATTAAAAGACCTGGAAGTCTTTCAGTAATCCCTTGATATTGACAAACATATGTGCTGCTCCATCCTCTGCTTTTCTGGGTTAAATACTTGGAAGAGAAATGGAAGCAGTGGGTCTATAGCTGCACTGAAACCTCTGCTCTTCCCTTGCAGAGAGCTGCTGAACGCGCACAGGGATAACCTGGGCACCACAATTAAGTTTGTGATTTTCAACGAGCTATCAAATGCCAGAAATCCCAACAACATGCAGATCCTGTATACTGTGCTTCAGCACAGCTCCGAGCAAGCTCCGAAGGTAAGTGTGATGTCTTGTCTGACTGAGGGTGATCCCAGAGATTCAGTTGAACTGAGGCTCAGAGAAATCTTTCCACAGACAACTGTGTGATCTGTATTGTACTGTTTTGAAATTGTAGAATTGCAACTTGCTTGGGATAAATGTGCACTAACTCCCACATTCTGGGTGACCAGCCTCGTGATAATGAAGTTTCATAAAGAAATGGTGTTATTTCCCTGGCCATCTGAAGGACAGATGTACCACCAGCATTCTTTCCTTGGGTCTTTTCATTTTGTGGCTGCAGATACATTACAATGGAATTAAACTTTTCTCTTTTTCTCTCTCAGTACCTAGCAATGGTGTTCCAGGATCTTTTGACCACGAAGGACGATTACCTGCGGGCGTCTCGGGCTCTGCTGCGAGAGATCATAAAGCAGACAAAGCATGAGATCAACTTCCAGGCCTTCTGTCTGGGCCTTATGCAGGAGCGGAAGGAGGCCCAGTACGTGGAAATGGAGTTCAAGGTACGCATCCTTTGAGCTCATTGCTGCTGGATGGTGGACTGGCCTCTTCCATATCTGTTTTTCTGGCTGTTCTTTCTTTTCCTCTTCATTATGAGTCAATATTTGTATCTCACACTTCATAGCATTGCTCCCACATCCCATTTCCAACCATGCATGACTGTCATTTGTGATGATGAAACCATTTTTTAGAAGGCAGCTTTGGGTTTTACTGATGGAACTCACTGGGATTTTTTTCTTTAAGGAGCGGTTTGTCATCCACATAACTGATCTGCTCGCTGTCTCCATGATGCTTGGTATCACAGCCCAGGTGAAGGAGGCTGGAATTGCTTGGGACAAAGGAGAGAAAAAGAGTAAGCAGAACAATCTAGGTTTCCTCTGAAGATGGGTGGCATGGTAGATAGATTCTGGCAGTGCTGGCAGAGATTCTGGGGTTGGGGCAAGAGTCAGGATTACCAAGTACCTAATGCTGAGAAGACGGGTGTTTGGGGTGGTGTCTTCTCACAGTGCTCATTCATCCGTGCTACATCTTGGGGTTTTGTTGCTCACAATCTGAAAGCAAAGCATGTGTGCTCTCAGTGCTGGGATGCTTGTAGGGGTGTGACGAGGGGGAAGGGTTTAAGCTGAAGAGGGGAGATGGAGATGAGTTCTGGGGAAGAACTTGTTTGGTGTGAGGGTGGTGAGAGCCTGGCCCAGGTTGCCCAGAGAAGCTGTGGCTGCCCCATCCCTGGCAGGTTGGAGGGGGCTTGGAGCAACCTGGGCTGGTGGGAGGTGTCCCTGCCCAGGGCAGGGGGTTGGAACTTGGTGATCTTTGAGGTCCCTTCCAACCCAAACCATTTTATGATTCTCTGCTTAAGGTTGTCCAGTCTACCTCTTCCCAGTTTACTGCTGATGCTTTGAGCCTTGGGTACTCTCTGCTCTTGAAACAGGCACCCTCTCCTGCTGGGGCTCTGGTACATGCACAGTTTGTAACCTTACTCTTTTACAGACCTGGAAGTGCTACGCTCTTTCCAGAACCAAATTGCTGCTATCCAACGAGACGCTGTCTGGTGGCTTCACACGGTGGTTCCATCTATCAGCAAGCTGGCTCCAAAGGACTATGTGCACTGGTAAGAGTCAGCCTGGTGATCTGCTGTGTGGAACCAGCCCCTTTCCCCACAGTGTGTGACGTGCTACGAAAAACCACGTGCATATGCCAGGGTTTGGTTAGATTTCTCTCCCCTTATCAGACAGGGAACAGAAACAGTGTTTTAGCGGGGTTCAGGCTGGGACTATCTCCCTCTCAGGAATTCCTGCAGATGCATCCTCTTATCAGAAATGGAAAATATTTCTGATTTGTATTATTTGGGCCCACCCAACAGGGAATTTCCAGTTGCCTTACCAAGCATGATCCCTGTGGACCCCTTGGTGTTTTGTCTGACATGTTTTTTCAGGCTGTATGTTTGATGACTCCATAGATAGTCCTGTCTTCTCTGGCTGCTTCTGGTTATATCCTGGGGTCTGCCTCAAGGCATTACTGAGGCAGAATTAATAGCATCTGAAATGTGTTCACTGGAAGTGTAAACCCCCAATGCCCGTACTCTATAGTTCTCTCTTGTGATCAGAGTTGTTAATTTTGCTGGAGTAGCTTATCTGAGGGGGATCATGTATAGGATGGGAAGCATTGGCAGGAATTTGGGGAGACTGAACTGTCGAACATGTTCTTGAGCCTCACACAGATGGTGTTTACTGTCCTCTTTGTTTCTACAGCCTCCACAAGGTGCTCTTCACAGAGCAGCCAGAAACCTACTACAAATGGGACAACTGGCCCCCTGAGAGTGACCGCAAGTGAGTGTGTGCCCCAGGCAGAGGAATTGGGGTTTTCTGGGGTTCCTCATATAGCTCTGCGTTGGGAGGGTTTTGAACTGTGCTTGGATTTTCTTCATCTGTTACTTTGCCTTAAAAATGAGGGATGCTGCTCCGTTCTCCATCTGTTCCTCCTTCATTCATGTTCCCTGTGCCAAGCTGTTCTGTGTCTCAAATCTGTAATTTTACAAAGGACAGCCCTGTACTGTATGGGTTGTACTGGGATATCTTTAGGAAGCTCAGACTCAAGCAGGCTGAAGTGTAGAGGTACAAGGCAATGTGAGCAAGATTCCATAAAGCAATTTGTTTTAGGTAGTTGCATTTTGAGCTGGAGACCAGGGAAGGAGTTGTAAACTAAGCTGTGATTTTATCTTCTGCTCAGATGAGCTCTGGGGTGTTGGAGGGTTTCAGGAACCCTCAGGCTGCTCTCAGAAGTGTGATTGATGTCTCGTGTCTCGTGCAGCTTCGTGGAGGGTTTCAGGAACCCTCAGGCTGCTGTCAAAAGAAGCGTGATTGATGTCTCGTGTCTCGTGCAGCTTCTTCCTTCGCCTCTGCTCCGAGGTGCCCATCCTTGAAGACACCCTGATGCGGATCCTGGTGATCGGTTTGTCGCGGGACCTCCCTCTTGGCCCTGCTGATGCCATGGAGCTCGCAGACCACCTGGTGAAGCGGGCTGCGGCTGTGCAAGCAGATGGTAAGACTGTGCAAAGCTCCAACCAGCAAGTGGCCACTTCTGTCTGCGTGTCTTCTTGCTGCCACCCAGGGCTGAGGTGGCTCCTACCACGTACCAAAGAGCCTTTGCCTCATTCAAAGCGTGTTTTAGTCATGATGGCTCAAAGCCAGATATGTATTGCTGTTGCTTTCTCACTAGAGAAGCTTCTTATTTTCTCCTATTCTTTCTCCCTGTTAGTAATTTTCTATCAGGGAGTGTTTGGGAAATTAGTGGTTGTGTCAAGGATGAAGGACTGTGAATAACCACCCAAAGTTTTGAGTTAGCGTTTTTAAATTCAATTTAGTCATTTATACATCCCTTAAGATGAATAGAAATTTTTAGGCCGTGCAAAAATCAAAGGGTTGGAAGTTAAAGTAATTAACCTGAACCCAAGTTCATTATTCAAGCACTGTTACAGAATAGCAGTTACAAAAGCAGCCTGAACTCTTACCCCTTTTATGAATTCATTCAGCATTTGTCCAAATTCCTGCATCCTTGGAGAGTGTGTCCATTCAGTTGAGTTATTTGTGGTGGTGTCTGAGTTGAGAGGGGTTGTCAGAGTTTGATTCTAAAGCATCTTATGTGCTGTTGGTGCTGACTTTTTCATTAATAGCAAAGTCTAGTCCAGATCAGGGCAGTGCAAGTGGAATGAGCTAGACTTTGCTGTTGAATATCCTGTGAAAATGTGTCCAGCCTCTCAGTGTGGCATTTTAAATGCTGCGTCGTTTCAAATCCTGGCAGACTCAGAGTTAAGTTAGAGCGAGTCTGAAAACTTGCAACAGACTTAAAATGCATGTTTTTTAGTTCCTCTGAGCCCCAGAAGTTCTGAGCAGATACACTCCTTCAGGTAAGCAGTGAATCTGAAAAAGATACAGGTATCATATTGGATGCATTTGGGGAAAAACCCTGCCCTTAAGAAATTAAACCAAATTGCAGCTGAAAAGCTGGCTATCCTTATATATTGACTTGTAGTTCTTTTAAGTGTTGGTTTTTTGTTCCTGTAATATCATGAGACCAAGCCCACAATAACATAGTTGCTTGAAGTAAAATTTTTGTTCTGCTGTGATGCTCTTCTTGGAAGACTTTGGGCCAGGTAGACAGGTCAATAATTTGTTTGGTCTTTTCTTCTCCTCCTCCAGATGTCGAGGTCCTGAGGGTAGAAAGAATCCAGCTGATTGATGCTGTCTTAAATCTGTGCACTTACCACCATCCAGAGAATATCCAGCTACCCCCAGGGTAAGGCTTATCCCATAGATATAATCTTGTTGTGATCTAGCTCGTTTTCATCTTGTGGTGAACAATCCCAGCTCAGATTTTAAGATGCTTTTCCCTATTACAATTTGTAATAACAAAATCCCGAGGAAACCTTTTCAATGTCGTGTTCAGGTGGGAATTTCTCTAGGGCAGTTAAGACTCGGGTCATGGAATGGACTGTGCTCTGCAAGCACTCTGGTCTTTTTGCTCTAGAAATTTTCAGCTGAACCCTGTAGCTGAATCTAAACAGTGCATGATTAAGGAGAAAAGCGGTCTTGAGATGGCCTTAATTAACCAAATCCAACCACTTGTATCTGTTAATGGCTTTTGCAGGTACCAGCCTCCAAATCTAGCTATTTCTACCCTCTACTGGAAAGCCTGGCCTCTCCTGCTTGTAGTGGCTGCATTCAATCCTGAAAACATTGGTGAGTTGGACAAAAACCCAAAATATTGGACATTTTTCAGGATACTAGTTCTGCTGTAAAAATTGGTCAAGGTGCTGCCTGCTGAAGTCTGGTTGTGTGTGTTCAAGGCATGTGCTGGGTTGGTAGAGGGTTAATAACCTCAGTTATTAATTGTGTATTCCCTGTGTGTCCAAAAATACACAGTGTGGGGGGTTTGGACCAGCAAGTGGCTGTAATCATGTTGTCTGTGCTCTAAGTGTGGTGGGCTGTTATGAAGTGAGTTTGTTGTGTGTCTCCCCACCTTTAGAGTGTGTTAGAATGTATATAAAGGCTCTCACTTTTTTTCCTGTATCCCTGATTGCCTTTCTCTGCTGCAGGTCTGGCTGCATGGGAGGAGTACCCTTCTCTGAAGATGCTCATGGAAATGGTCATGACCAAGTTAGTATGTTAAATCCCTGCTTAAATCAAATCAGCCACTGAAAACTTGTATTTCTGAATGAAGCTTGTGCCAATTGGCACCTTCCTTTCCAGAGGGATTGGTGTAAAATAAGCTGGCTGGCAGCAGCACTGCAGTTTGAGTGGGAAAGGTGCCTCTGCCCAACAGAAATATTATAAGCAAGGGAATAAAGCTGAGGAAAAGGGAGGGATGATACTGCTGTGCCTTGCTGAAAAGGTCTGGGTCTCCTTGGCCCTGCTGGGAAGCTGCTTTCTTTTTATGGAGCTGAGGTTTTGGGGATTTTTCTGACCGTGGTTCGTGAGTTTTGAATAGACCGAGATAACCGTTTTCTTTTTTGCCTTATTTTCTCAGTAATTATTCCTACCCTCAATGTACCTTGACGGATGAGGAGACGCGCACAGAGATGATTAATCGTGAACTTCAAATCTCCCAGAGAGAAAAACAGGAGATCCTTGCATTTGAGGGTCATCTGGCTGCTGCTTCCACCAAACAAACAATTACCGAGAGCAGCAGCCTCTTGCTGTCCCAGCTGACGAGTCTGGACCCTCAGTAAGTCACCTTCTGTGATCTGGTGCCATAATGAAATCCCAGCTAATGCTTGTTGGGGAGCCCTGCTGCTCAGAGGGGGGGTGTTGTGGGCAAGAAGAGCCCTGAGATTGGGTAGCCCATGGGATAATGTGTCACGTTTGGTCCTTGTCCTTCTGTTGCCCCCATGCTCTACTGAACTGACTGATCCTCATCACCACCAGTGTGAAAGTGTGTGTGCCTGGGGATAACTTGTTGTTTCTCTGGCAGGGGCCCCCCCCGCAGACCTCCCCCACATGTCCTGGAGCAGGTGAAAAGCCTGAACCAGTCACTTCGCTTGGGCCACCTCCTCTGTCGCAGTCGTCATCCTGACTTCCTTCTCAACATCATTCAAAGGCAGGTGGGTTCCCTCCAGATGTTGGGATCTGATCCCTAGTCTCTGAAACTTGAGCAGACTGAGAGGCAAAAGGAAGCTGAGGAAGATGCAAGAGAAGGTGGTTTTCTGCTTGGGAATTAAGCAATCAGTGTGCTACATCTGTGTTCTGCTGATTGTGTGCTGCCTCTGTGTTCTTCTCACCTTGCTTTGTTGTTCTCCTGCTTCCCAGGCCTCATCGCAGTCAATGCCATGGTTGGCAGACCTGGTTCAGTCCAGCGAGGGCTCCTTGGATGTCCTACCTGTGCAGTGCCTTTGTGAGTTCCTGCTTCACGATGCTGCTGATGAGTCGACCTCAGGTGAGGAAGAGGAGGAGGGCGAGAGTAAGGAGCAGCGTGCCAAGAAACGCCAGGTGAGTAGTCTCCAGGGGATCAGTTCTGGTACCTGCTTTCTGTCCATCCCGGATTTGATTTCATTGGAAAGGCCAACTTCTCACCCCACAGAGACAACAGAAACAAAGGCAGTTGCTTGGCCGGTTGCAAGACTTGCTCTTGGGTCCCAAAGCAGATGAACAGACAACCTGCGAGGTGCTTGACTATTTCCTACGCCGCCTGAGTTCCTCCCAGGTGGCCTCACGGGTCTTGGCAATGAAGGTGAGCAAAATGAAAATCTCCTTCACTAGAGTTTGTCAAAAGCTGAGGGCAAAGTCCTGGATTCTCCCGAGTCCAGAGCCAGTGCAGTGAAATTGTCTCACATCATCCTTCTTCAGTAACTTCTTTTCCAAACCCCATCGAATGCAGTCCTGCTCCCTGCTGCTCAGAAGCCTTCTTTGTTCAACAGCCAAATAGTACTTTTCTTAAGATGGAGCTGGATTTTGCTATGTTTCCCGTGAAGTTCAGGTGTAGACTCAGCAGATGTGTGCTGTGTGGAGTAATTGGCAGCAGCTGTGGTCTGTGGGGAGTGTAAATGAGCGAGTGCCTGTTGCTCTAGAGCCCAGTCAAGGCAAGCAGAATTGCAGAGAGCTCAAAAACATGATGCTTTACAGCAAACTGAAACTTCACGCAGGGCAGCTGTCAAGCAAATGCATTTTATGAGACACAAACCCTGTCGTGTGCTGCGTTTGGATCGTGCCGTGACGTTTGAAGCTTGTTGCTATGATATTCACTAGCATGAAACTAGTGGTCCAGCTGTGGCTTCAAATGCTCCAGCTGTGTCCGTGTGACTTCTGCAGGGCCTGTCCCTGGTGCTGTCGGAAGGGGGACTGCGTGATGGAGAGGAGAAGGACCACCCCATGGAGGAGGACTCTGGGGATTCTGAACTGCTGCAGGGATACCAGTGGCTGCTGAGAGACCTCCCGAGGCTCCCGCTCTTCGACAGCGTCAGAGCAACCACAGCTCTTGCCTTGCAACAGGTAGCTTTGGTGGCTGGAAGGGACAAGTGACCTACTCAAATCTGAGCAAACTGCATGTAGGGGCAATATCGATACGTTTGTCTACTTGCAAAAGAATTTTTCTTATGCTGGTGCTTGTTTTCATTAATTCCTGTTTTCTAATGATTTGAATTCTCGTTCTAGGCCATCCACATGGAGACAGATCCCCAGACCATCAGTGCTTACCTGGTGTACCTCTCCCAGCACGCCCCAGTGGAGGAGCAGGGACAGCACAATGACCTTGCTCTGGTGAGAGGCTGGGTTGCTGGGGCAGAGGGGTGGCACGGGGGACACCTGGCATGTCTCAGGGCAGTGTCAGGCGTGTCACTTGCTGTACCTGCACCATGAGGTTCTTGAGAGCACGTGAATCTGCTGTGTTTTTGTGGATGTGTTGCCCAGGGAACCTGTGTCCTTGGTTTTGTATCATGAAATGATACCAGGGCAATAACAGCCCATCTCAGCTGGGATGGGGAATGCAAGAGTGGGTAGTGATTGGAAGGAAATCCCACCACCTGGTTGTGTTTCACCAGTAAGCACGTGCTAATTGTGCAGTCATGTGTATCTGGGGAGAGAATGTGGGAAGTCAAGTGGGATACACACTCTCCTATAACCAAAATTGCATTTCTAATTTTTTTAAAGCTTTTGGTGATTTTTTAAATTATTTTTTTATATATTTGGCTCTTAAACAATGAGATTTTTTTATTGTTTTGCCTCTGGGTGCTCTTTTTTTCCATGGCTTTCAAGTCCATTGAACTACATCCTTCACGACAGTCTTTTTCCACAGACCTACAGGCTCATGTGTTTCTTCTGCCTGTGTAGATCTGCTTAGGTATGTGGAGAACGTTAAATTGTGGGAGTCAGTAGATCTGTTTGTTCAGAGAAATGCAGGTTTTCACTAGGCAAATGCTCCCTCTGTAATGGGATGCAGCTGTGCTACAAATGAGGACACTGTAAGGTATCACACGATGCATGCAGAGCATCATTTTCCCTCGTGTGATGGTTTTACTCTTGGCTCCCCACGTTCATCTCCAGAGTGGTGGTAACTGGGCTGATGATGGAAACGGGAGAACGTGATGCGGTGAAGCAGGAGGACCTGGTCATCTGTTGGTCAGTAAAGACCTCATGGATTTTTTCCCCTTGCAGGATGTAGCCCGACTCATTGTGGAACGTTCTACCATCATGTCCCACCTCTTCTCCAAGCTCTCCTACAGTGCTGAGTCAGATGCTGTGCTTGTTGCTCTTCTCTCCATCTTCTCTCGCTACATCAAGCGCATGCGGCAGAGCAAGGAGGGCGAGGAGGTGTACAGCTGGGTGAGTCCCTCCCTGCCTTTCTTATTCTGGTAGAAAAAAGAGGACAAGTTAGCAAAAGAGAAGAGCCCATTGTGGGCTACTGAGTATGTAGAAACCACATCTAGTTCAAGAATTCCCTGATCTGAAAATAACTGGGGGTTGCCATAGTGTCAAAGCCAAGTGTATGTGAACATAAAAAGCTGTTTTTAACTTCTCCTTGAGTATCTTTTGTGGGCACTGTTGGAGACACTGGACTAGGTTGAACTTTGGTCTGACCAAATTAATCCATTCTCACGTTCTCCTTTCATCTGCACCTCACAGATCTCATTCTCCTTTCTCTCCCCAGCATTTTTCATCCTATTTTTTTTTTTTCTGCCTTTTTCCAGTCAGAGTCCCAGGATCAGGTGTTCCTTCGTTGGACTAGTGGGGAAACAGCCACTATGCACATCCTTGTGGTTCATGCCATGGTTATTCTCCTGACGTTAGGGCCACCTCAAGGTTAGTGAAGTGTGCTCAGATTTATTCAAGGGGTCACAGACAGTGCAGAGAGCCTTTCCTCTGCATCCCATCTCCTGGCAGGTCAGGCTGGTGGTAATCCTTCTACTCACAGGCTTGTCCCTTGCAATATTTGTTTGTAGCTGTAAGATCTATCAGAATATTGCTGCACAGAGCGAAGGATTTGCAGGCTTATTTATACCTTCTGCATAGAGCAGGAAATATGAAATGATGGTGTGTCCCTCCCTGCTAAACAAGAAGGATTCAGAGATGTTTTGTGCTGTGAGAACTGGGCGCTCCGATGCGTAGTTCACATTTCCACTCGATAGTGTTTATTCCCAAGTTGTCTCTAACCTCTAAACAAGACTGTTTTGGTGTAGTGATTTGTATAGAGAAGGGGAAAGGTATTCCAGGTGCTTATGAACACGGGAGATAATTTTGTATTCCCTCTTAAGCAGGGGATGGTGATTTTTATACCTTACTGGATATATGGTTTCCGGAGAAAAAGCCGCTTCCTACCGCGTTTCTGGTCGACACCTCGGAGGAGGCTCTGCTGCTCCCTGACTGGCTGAAGCTGCGCATGATCCGCTCCGAGGTCCCACGTCTTGTGGATGCAGGTGAGCCCCTGGGATGTCTGTTGGTGTTTCAGACCCTCCTGAAAGGAAGGAGAGAGATTTCCCTGCTCAAATCCTCTGTGTGCCCAGCTTGGGTGGGCTCTGGGTCAGTGCAGACCCTGCAGGGGATTTAGAAAGCAGCGTGTCTCTGGATTTTGTGACAGTCGCGATGTAAACACACAATCACAGAATCAGAGAATCACCATGGTTGGAAGGGACCTCTGAGATCATTGAGTCCAACCTCAAAAAAAAAAAACCAAAAAGATCACAGACCACAGAATGGTTTAGGTTGGAAGAGACCTTAAAGATCATCTAGTTCCAACCTCCCTACCATGGGCAGGGACGCCTCCCACCAGACCAGGCTGCTCAAAGCCCCATCCAGCCTGGCCTTGAATCCCAACTCCTTCCTCAAATTTACTAGATTTTGTGACAGTTGCAATCTAAACACACAATAGATTAGGGCTGTCAAACAGATGGACAGAATATGAGCAGGGAATGTTATGGGATGTCCCAGGATGATTCCCTACTCAGCCATGGTGTGTAGTTCATGTAACAAGGGTCTGAGAACATTTTGTGACAGTTGCAATCTAAACACACAATAGATTAGGGCTGTCAAACAGATGGACAGAATACAAGCTGGTTTGGGGCAGGGAATGTTATGGGATGTCCCAGGATGATTCCCTACTCAGCCATGGTGTGTAGTTCATGTAACAAGGGTCTGAGAACAGATACAACCTCGCCCACCATCAGACCCCACAGATTAATCCCCAGGGCATGGTGGGCTTGCAGTGTGGAGAGCTGTGTCTGAAGGATGTAAGCTCTACCTGTAGTTACTTTTGTCCTTGCACGGCTTGTCAGTGCTCTCTTTCTTCTTGGTATTCAGAGCTTTTGTCCCTTTCTTACTAATTAAATGACAGCTCTCTATAGCCAGTGATTGAATTATTCAATAATTCCTGCCTGCAGCCATCAACAGATAGGGTGGAAGTTATTTTTTAATACGAATGATTTGGTTCCTGAGGTTTTGATCAAATTAAACAGAAGATCAAATTAGCCAGTGAGTGAATTAACTGGAAGATAGAATAAGAAGGCAATGATTTGCAGAGCAAAGAAAACATAGTAGGCAGCTGTCAGGCTGCTGGCTTTAGGCTCTCTGCAGCCCTGTCATTGAAGTCTCGGTCCAGCCAAGAGCTCAAAGATCAGGTAATAAAGATGATTCTCTGTGAGCAGAGGTCTGAGGACTGGCTGTTTGTGTTTTCCAGCCCTGCAGGACCTGGAGCCGCAGCAGCTGCTTCTCTTTGTTCAATCCTTTGGAATCCCAGTCTCCAGCATGAGCAAACTGCTGCAGTACCTGGACCAGGCCGTGTCTCATGACCCGCAGACGCTGGAGCAGAACATCATGGACAAGAGTAAGAGCTTCGTATGAGGCTGAGTTCTTCTTCTTGAACAGTTTTGATGAGTATCTCCTGTGACTTCCCTGGAGAAATCCAAACTAGTTCTGCAAACTCTGTGCAGAGTCTGCTTTTGCAGCCTCTTGTCACTGCAGACATCTCCTTAGAGCTTGTCTGGATGGCCCTTGGCTGTATTTCCTAATGTAAAAAAGGATTTTCTGGATTGGATCGTACAGAGTTTAAAAAGTAATTTGGAGGCCAACTTGTGAAAAAAACAAGGCTTAAAAGCATCATGTTTAGAAAGTCTGTGGAAATGGCAAATTCCCCCCGCTGTGGGAGCTGAACAAACAGCAACCACTTCTATCCTGCTTTACTAAGGAGGGGGAGATGATCATTTGTTCATATCTTGTTCTTTTTCAGACTACATGGCTCACCTCGTGGAGGTTCAACATGAGAGAGGAGCAACGGGAGGCCAGACTTTCCACTCCCTGCTCACTGCCTCCTTGCCAGCCCGCCGAGGTACTGCCTGCCATCGCCTAGACTTCTGAATATCAAAGCCATCTTCCAAACTTCCTTCCTTTGCTGCTGTTGAGAGGGAGAGGAAAAGCTGCCTTCAAAAGGGATTGCATTGCAATATAACAGCAAGCTACAGTTAGACACCACTCCTTGCTAGAGTGGTTTTGCTCCTGGCAAAGGAAGAAATTCTTGGAGTTTACTACAATGAGTTGTTCTGAGTGATATGGAAAAGGAGCTCTTGCTTGGCCTCCAGAGAAAAGCTCTTGAATTCCTTAGTAGTTAGAGACTGTAATGTTGAAGGTGATCCAGTGTTGGGGCTCCAGATGCTGGCAGATAGCATCTGGAGCTCCAGATGCTCCAGATAACGGCATTTTTCTTTTTTTTTTTTTTCTTTTGTTTTTTATTCCTCTTGCAGACAGCGCTGAGGCTGCCAGGTCAAAATCTAGTCCTGAGAACTCCCAAGGCCAGAGCCGGATCCGGGCCTTGAGCCAGGTCCGGGTGCTGGGCCCAGAAGATGATCTAGCAGGCATCTTTCTGCAGGTACTGCTATAACCTCTAGCTGATCGACTGCTCCCTTGCAGCCGGTTTTAAAAAAAATCCATTTCCTTTATACTTGCATCTTCTGACCCCTTCCTCCTTCGGGGTTTGCAGAGAGTAAGTATGAAAGCCCTGCATGCAATGAGGCTGGTGGAATCCTCAGGCTGGTGAAATTGATATTGGAAAGGTTTTTTATCACATGATTTGAACACGGTGTGGCTTTTGATCATGCCTGATACTGTCAGCACCTACTAGCCCGTTACTGTCTGTGCACCATGTTTGTTCTGTGTGTAGTGCCTTTCCTCTCAGCAGCGAACGGAGGATTTGCGAAATGCTCGCAGGGCCTTGGCAGCAAAGCTGTGTGCAAACAGCATTTGGGCTCTGGCTTGTAGATTTGTAGAGCTTCCCTCTCTCCATTGACTCCAGAAAGAGCCTACAGGGAATTAATTGGCCGAGCTGGTTGCCTGTGTTTGTGGAATATGGTGATTCCCCCACAGTGTTGGTGTTGCTAGTCATACTGGGGTTGTGGAGATGCTGCGGCTGGTCCTGTACCAGGCACTAAAATATTGAAAAAGCTGAATCAGAAGGTTCCAGTTAGCCCACACAGTATAATTATACAAGTTAATCATTCCTCTGCCTCAGGATATTTATATTTTAGCGAGTTCTTTCATTTGCTCTCATAAATATATTCCCATCTGTATCCTACCAGCTCTTCCCCCTCAATCCGGACCCGCGATGGCAGAACTCGAACCTGCGCCCGCTCGCGCTGGCGTTGCAGCAGGCCCTGGGGCAGGAACTGGCTCGTGTCCGGCAGGGGAACGCGCCGGTGACCGGGATCACGGTGACCGGGATCACGGGGCGACTCCTCCAGGCGGTGGCCGCGCTGATGAACTCACCACACAGCGGGGCCTTGGTGATGGCCATGCACCGCCACCACTTCATCTCCTGCCCCCTCATGCGCCAGCTCTACCAGTATCAGGTGAGCCATGAGAGTCTGCGCAGCGTTCAACAAAGAGGGGTGGGGAGGAAACAGAAAATCTGCTGTGTTGTGTGGCTTTTCACAGAATCACAGAATCTTCTAGGTTGGAAGGGACCTTCAAGATCATCTTGTCCAACCATCAACCTAACTGACAAAAATAGACACCCGCACAACAAACAAGGAGCATCATCACTAAACCAGACCTCCCAGCACTACATCAACCTGTCTTTTGAACACCTCCAGGGATGGGGCCTCAACCACCTCCCTGAGCAGCCCATTCCAATGGCTGAGAACCCTTTCAGTGAAAAAATTTTTCCTAATATCCAGCCTGAACCTCCCCTGGAGTAACTTGAGGCCATTTCTTCTCGTCCTGTCGCCTGTGACTTGAGAGAAGAGACCGACCCCCCCCTCTCTACCCCCTCCTTTCAGGGAGTTGTAGAGAGCAATAAGGTCTCCCCTCAGCCTCCTCTTCTCCAGGCTGAATAACCCCAGCTCCCTCAGCCTCTCCTCATAAGACTTATTCTCCAGACCCCTCACCAGCTTTGTCGCCCTTCTCTGGACCCGCTCCAGCACCTCAATGTCTTTTTTATGGTAGGGGGCCCAAAACTGGACACAGTACTCAAGGTGAGGCCTCACCAGTGCCGAGTACAGGGTGTAGACCTTCTGCCTGTGCAATGCTGGAAGTACAGCTTGGGGAGCGTGGTACAGAGGGACTCAAGTTGCCTGGGTGCTGACTGGCCACATTAGCCTGGCACTGCTGAGAATGGGGGTTTATGTGCAGGGTTGGGTGCATCCTTCCTTCTCTGGGAACTGTGTGGCTCGATGGATTTGCAGCTGTGGGTCTCTCTTGGTTTTGGGATCTCTGGCATGGACATGCCTTGCAAGCCAAGGCATTTGCAGACGGCTTGAGAGCTGAAGTCTGTAATTCCTTAAAGAAATCTTCGGAGCAGGCTGTGAGTTATCCCATGAAATAACCTCATTCCTTTCAGCACAATGAAAGAAGGCACAAAGTTGCCTTTAATTATGCTGGGAGACGTATTGTGTGGGAGTCTTCTCCTTGTTTTTGGACACTAGAAGCTACTGCCTTGATTTGATCGAGCTATGGTCCAACAGAGTAGGTGTGCTCTGTGTGTTCTTGGCAGTATGTGCCACTGTCTGTGTCTTTCCTGCTCTATTTATTGTCTTTTTGAAGTGTCTATAAGCAAGTCTCTTTTCTGCACTCCACAGCGCTGCGTGCCACAAGACACTGCCTTCTCCTCGCTCTTCTTCAAAGTCCTCATGCAGATGCTGCAGTGGTTGGAGAACCCTGCAGTGGAAGAAGGTCCTCTGCGTGCTCAGCTGAAGGCCTTTGCTGTGCAGTACTCCTCCAGGCACAGGATCAGTGACGGTACCGGCATTTTGCAGCTTGTGGGACTCAGAATGGGACAAGAAAGGGACAGAAACAGAACTGCACCCAGAGCAGAAAGTAGGGGGGGCTGCCTTTAGAGAGGGACGCTTAGGAGTAGCAAAGAGAGGTTTTGTTCTTTCCTAGATAAACCCCATGAGGATGCAGACAAGTGATTTAGCTCTGGGGGTTTGCAGTACACACCTGGTAACGTCTCACCAAGCCCAGCACATCTTTTAGGGAAAGAATTCCAGTTGCTGAGGCCAGGAATTGTGTGCTAACTATAGTCCTGAAAGATGAGCATGCAAGAATGCCTCTGGAACAAGGTCATGTCACGACTTGGAAAGTTGTTTATCATCTGTTGGGAGGAGGAGTCTATAACCAAGACCTTAGGAATGGAGATGGGTCTGTGGTTAAAGAGTTTTCTCTTAGCCACATGTTCCTGTAACATGCAGAGGAGCTGTCAAAGGTTTTGATGGGAGTAAAATGCCAGTAGAGCATAGCGTGTTTGTATGAGTAGTTGTGCTCTGGAGCCACATGTGTCTTCTGTAAAAGGGAAACCTGATGCAGGGTCTGTGACAGCAATGCTCTGATTTATTTTTGCAGTTCGAGGTGGCTTCTTGCACCTCACAGAAGCTCTGACTTTCCGTCGTGACCCTGACTTGATCAGCTCCACGGTACGTGCCATCATTGCAACCCTGAAATCGGGGGAGAAGTGTAACGTGGAGCCAGAGCTCATCAGCAAAGGTAGGACTGTCCTTCTGCTCTCCTCCCCCTTTGCAGCAGCAGAGGTTGAACTTCCAGCCCAGCAAGGAAAAGAGCCCACAGTGCAGGCTGTGGGAAGCTGCCTTCTGCCTGGGTCAGAAAATGGGAACTGATCTAAACTCAGTCCTGTGTTGTATCACCTCCTTCCCCTGTGCTGGTATATGGGTTTATAAACTGGGATCTGGGGCTGGGATTAAGTCTCTCAGCAAACTATTGGTTTCCACTAAGAAAATAAGAAATAGAAGCCCACTATCCCAGATAAAAAGGGTGTCCCTCTTCCTTACTCAGCCAGGCTCTTGGGAATGCTGGACTGATTGCTTTTATGATACTCTTAGAAGGTTCCATAGCTTTCACCACATCCTGAGGTTAACCAGGGACATCTTTCTCCCTCTGCTAGTCCTTCAAGGTCTGATGGAAACTCACTCGCCATACTTGGAGGAACTCCTGACTGTCCTCTTCTCGGCTACTGTTGAGACCACTGCCAGGTTTCCTGCCATGAAACCCATTGCTGTGGTGAGCTCCTTGCTGCTCCAGGACAAAGAAGAAACACCAGTGAAGAAGGAGCTGGACAGTTGCAGGTGAGTGTAGACAACAATGGGATTTCACTGGTAGGTCTGGGTTCACGTTGCCACCACTGATATTGGCTTTCCTTTCTCCTCAGTACGGAAGCACCTTGGTTAGGGCCCTCCTCTGGCCTCCTTAACGACTGGCTGGAGATGCTGGACCCAGAGGTCATCAGCAGCTGCCCTGACCTGCAGCAGAAACTACTGTTCTCCTGGAACAAAGTAAGACTTGTTGGGTAGAAGGACTACTGTGCTGGAACCACCTTTCTGGGCAACTTTTGCACCTGGAAACAGGGCAAGGGGTAGTTTTCTGTTTTGCCAGATGTTGTTATACCAGTTCCAAAGCGGTACAGGCTGACTGGGAGGGGGATTCCAGTCCATCCATTTGAGTGCAAGGGTTGCTTCATGTTCTCTTTATATTTCTTCAGCTGTGTTCTTTGCAGGACTTGAAAGTGCATTACAGACACAACACAGTCCCAAAGCAGCCCAGCCAGCTGTGTTTCCGTTGGTGTTTTTGCAGGCAATAAATAGCTTGCCCAGAAGTGCTCTGCCAAAGCTGGGACTCAAACTGAATTTCATGGCTGATGCCATGTTCCATTAGAAAGTACTGCAATTCAAATCCTAAATCCACGTGTTGTCATCTGTGCTGTCTGTCTGCCTGGATCGTCGTCCTTCTGTGATACACACAGTTTGTCCTACACCCTCCTCACAGCGAGGATCTGTTCATTACATCTCTTCTTCCTGACCTGCAGCAGAAGCTACTGTTCTCCTGGAACAAAGTAAGAGTTGTTGGGTAGAAGGACTACTGTGTTGAAACCACCTTTCTGGGCAACTTTTGCACCTGGAAACAGGGCAAGGGGTAGTTTTCTGTTTTGCCAGATGTTGTTATACCAGTTCCAAAGCGGTACAGGCTGACTGGGAGGGGGATTCCAGTCCATCCATTTGAGTGCAAGGGTTGCTTCATGTTCTCTTTATATTTCTTCAGCTGTGTTCTTTGCAGGACTTGAAAGTGCATTACAGACACAACACAGTCCCAAAGCAGCCCAGCCAGCTGTGTTTCCGTTGGTGTTTTTGCAGGCAATAAATAGCTTGCCCAGAAGTGCTCTGCCAAAGCTGGGACTCAAACTGAATTTCATGGCTGATGCCATGTTCCATTAGAAAGTACTGCAATTCAAATCCTAAATCCACGTGTTGTCATCTGTGCTGTCTGTCTGCCTGGATCGTCGTCCTTCTGTGATACACACAGTTTGTCCGTGCTCTGCCAAAGCTGGGACTCAAACTGAATTTCATGGCTGATGCCATGTTCCATTAGAAAGTACTGCAATTCTAATCCTAAATCCACGTGTTGTCTGTCTGTGCTGTCTGTCTGCCTGGATTGTCGTCCTTCTGTGATACACACAGTTTGTCCTACACCCTCCTCACAGCGAGGATCTGTTCATCACATCTCTTCCTTGCTTGGTCCTTCCAGGCGGGGTCCCAGGTGCCCTCCTTCCGCCCGTATCTCTTGGCTCTCCTCACTCACCAGTCCAGCTGGACCACGCTGCACCAGTGCATCAGGCTTCTGCTTTGCCGAAACCGGGAGCAACGGTGAGTCTTGTTTTTCAGGCCTAGCGAGGAGTTTTGAATCATAGAATCATAGAATGGTTTGGGTTGGAAGGGACCTCAAGGATCATCTAGTTCCAACCCCCCTGCCCTGGGCAGGGACACCTCCCACCAGACCATGTTGCTCAAGGCCACATCCAGCCTGGCCTTGGACACTTCCAGGGATGGGGCAGCCACAACTTCCCTGGGCAACCTGTTCCAGTGTCTCACCACCCTCATAGTAAAGAATTTCTTCCCGAGATCTAATCTGAGTCTTTTTCTTCCAATTTAAAACCGTTTCCCCTTGTCCTATCATTACCCTTCCTGACAAAGAGTCCTTCTCCAGCTCTTCTATAGGTACCCTTCAGGTATTGAAAGGCCGCTATAAGGTCTCCCCGGAGCCTTCTCTTCTCCAGGCTGAACAATCCCAGCTCCCTCAGCCTGTCTTCACAGGAGAGGTGCTCCATCCCTGAGTTGGGCAACTCACTGTGTCTGAGAGAGAACAAACAGAAGCTGAGAACAGGAGCTGCCAGGAGGTGTAACCCAGCCAAACCCAGGCTCTGTGAGAAGGATGTTGATTTCAGTCATGCTGATTTGTGTACCTTGATATAAATATTACCCGCTGTTTGATGGAAGCAGCACATAAAGATTTGGCTGGGTTCTGAACAGGAAGTGCTAATCGCTGGGTAATCCATCTACCATTGCCCTTGTTGATAATCTTTATGAACGTGGGGTTTGAGAGATGGTTTGGAGAACAGACTGGTGGCAGGCTCCGTACCTGGGCCGGCTCTGCTGGATCTTTTGGTGGTGCTAAACTCCATTGCCAGCCTTCTAACCCCCTTCCTGGCATCAGGCTCCCAGTTCTGAGCTCTGGGGCAGCCCTAGCTCTCAGCTTCTCCACGTTGCTCTCAGATGCTGAAGTGTCACTCTAGTAGTATTTTGCTTGAACTTGTGCTTTACAGAGCAGGCAATGCTAACATCTAACAGTAGTAATTCAGGACATGATTAAACTAGCGATACTTCTCAAGCTAGCAGTATTTCAGTTTGTTTATCGTAATGTTATTTATCTCTTGCTCTCTAACAACTTAATTAATTTCTGCTGCCCCAGATAACAGCCAGGATGGGATGTTCTGGGACAGCAAGGTCACTGGTCTGATCATATCAACTCCCTGTAGCCACCACGCTCTTGCCGAATGCCGTTAGTTCAGCTCCATACCCCGTGCTGTGCTTACTGCAACAAATATTTAGTCATAATCTGGGAAGAGTACCAAACCCCTTCTTGGGACTTAATGGATCCTATTTTTACATTTGCAGATGTTTCTGCCTTCACAGTACCCGTGATGTTAGAGTCTCTACCATGTGTTTGTGTGCTGCCCGAGGGCTGCCTTGACTCTAATTGCAAATCCGTCTTCTTTTGTCTTCTGGCAGGTTTGACCCCACGGCATCCTTGGATTTCTTGTGGGCTTGTATTCACATTCCTCGGATCTGGCAGGGAAGGGACCAAAGAACGAGTTGGGCAACTCACTGTGTCTGAGAGAGAACAAACAGAAGCTGAGAACAGGAGCTGCCAGGAGGTGTAACCCAGCCAAACCCAGGCTCTGTGAGAAGGATGTTGATTTCAGTCATGCTGATTTGTGTACCTTGATATAAATATTACCCGCTGTTTGATGGAAGCAGCACATAAAGATTTGGCTGGGTTCTGAACAGGAAGTGCTAATCGCTGGGTAATCCATCTACCATTGCCCTTGTTGATAATCTTTATGAACGTGGGGTTTGAGAGATGGTTTGGAGAACAGACTGGTGGCAGGCTCCGTACCTGGGCCGGCTCTGCTGGATCTTTTGGTGGTGCTAAACTCCATTGCCAGCCTTCTAACCCCCTTCCTGGCATCAGGCTCCCAGTTCTGAGCTCTGGGGCAGCCCTAGCTCTCAGCTTCTCCACGTTGCTCTCAGATGCTGAAGTGTCACTCTAGTAGTATTTTGCTTGAACTTGTGCTTTACAGAGCAGGCAATGCTAACATCTAACAGTAGTAATTCAGGACATGATTAAACTAGCGATACTTCTCAAGCTAGCAGTATTTCAGTTTGTTTATCGTAATGTTATTTATCTCTTGCTCTCTAACAACTTAATTAATTTCTGCTGCCCCAGATAACAGCCAGGATGGGATGTTCTGGGACAGCAAGGTCACTGGTCTGATCATATCAACTCCCTGCAGCCACCGCGCTCTTGCCGAATGCCGTTAGTTCAGCTCCATACCCCGTGCTGTGCTTACTGCAACAAATATTTAGTCATAATCTGGGAAGAGAACCAAACCCCTTCTTGGGACTTAATGGATCCTATTTTTACATTTGCAGATGTTTCTGCCTTCACAGTACCCGTGATGTTAGAGTCTCTACCATGTGTTTGTGTGCTGCCCGAGGGCTGCCTTGACTCTAATTGCAAATTCGTCTTCTTTTGTCTTCTGGCAGGTTTGACCCCACGGCATCCTTGGATTTCTTGTGGGCCTGTATTCACATTCCTCGGATCTGGCAGGGAAGGGACCAAAGAACTCCTCAGGTAGCCGTTCAGTTCTTCCAAGATCCCTCTCTGGATGGAGCAGGAGGCAATGCTTTCATGGTGCCTGATTATTTTCTTTGTCCCATGGCCCAAGAGGTGGCTGGAGCGATGCGGGTGCAGCGTGCCAAGCTTGCTGCCTGAACCTCAGCTGATTACTGAGCCACTCTGCTGTGTGACATATTACAGTGACAATTTGGAGTCCAAAAAGCTGATACAAACACACATAAGTTTGCCCACTTGACCTTTCCTCTGCAGCTCCTGCAGCAGTTGCCACAATATCCATTAAAGATCTACACACAAGACTGCAGTGGTGAGCAAGCTAAAACCCAGGGTGGGATAACTCCTATTTTACCAAGAAAAGGGGTTTGCATCTCTTCTCTGCAGAGGAATTTCTTTGGTTTGGTGACTTAATTATGGTTTCAGACCCATCACACGTGCTGAGATGGAAGTAAATGAGTTCTGAAGTAGTTGAGGGATAACGAGGTTCCATTTGGGGCAGTGATGCTTTCAGAGCTCGAGATATGGGGCAGTTCTTAAGTCCAGTTCCAGGAGGTATTTCATTCCAGTTGGGGAAGGTGTGACTAGAAGGAACTAAGATTCAGTTTGGATTCATTTTGGGTGTTCTCTTGCATTACAGAAGCGCCGTGAGGAGTTTGTGCTCCACCTAAAAGCATCGGAGCTGATCAGCATGGTGGAGCTGATCCTGGCTGAAGCAGAAACCAGATACCAGAGCACAGAAGAGGCCTCCTGCACACTCATCCAGTCCCGGCTGCCTTTGTTGCTCAGTTGTTCTCATGGGGACCTTGAGAGCATCAAAAAAGTAACGGAGTATCTGACCAGCTGCATCCAGCAGTGGGGGAGCAGGTGGGGCTGCAAACGGGGAGCACCCTCTTCCCTGATTGTAGGTCCTTGTCGTTTTAAGTGGTACTTGGACCAGGAAAGGTCACTTTTACTTTTCGAGGCCCTTTTGCTTTTAGGACTTGAGGACAAAATGCTTGCCGTGTTTTTTGTTGGTTTGGGGTTTTTTTTAAGTTAATGGTTATTTTTAATTAGCAGTTCCTAACGTGGCGTTTCTTGTCCACTCATCCCTTGAATCACTCAGCTCCTGCTGCATCCTGTTTCTCTCCATTATGATTGCTCTGAAAGCTGAATGGAGACTGGGTTGTTTCCTCCCAGCTATGTTCCCATGGCTCCCTGTAGACTCTGAATGATTTGGGTAGTTCAGAAGAAACAAAGACTGGAAAAAATACTGATTCAGATTAGCAGTGGCTGCTCTTTTCCATGGTCTGTTTGCCACGTGCAGGAAGGCTGTTGCTAATGGGATGGCTCTGGGATGTTTGCTGGTTGAACTAACGTGGTAACCAGTGACTGACCTCTCCCTTTTTCCTCCAGCTCTGTGGGAAAATGCTGCCAGGACCTTCTGCTTCAGATCTACCTGCAGCTCCCCGAGCTCCTCGTGCCTATGCCTGAGATGCTTCTCACCAGTGAAGGAGCCAGAGACAGCAGCACTTGCAAGGTAAAGCTAGAGGCATAGGAGAGCTCCTTTCCAGTTGTGTACCCAGAATGGCTACCAGTGCCCAGTCTAAAAGGAGAGGACTGGGAAAAGCTTCCTGGGTCACTTTGCTTTCTTTACCTCACTCTTCTGTTGCCCCTTCTGTGCCTGTGCTCTCAGGAGCAGATTGTTCAGGTGTGGTTTATTTTGCAGTGTCCTTCTATAAAATACCATAAGCTCCACACGTTTCTATGTGCCAAAAGCTTCTGTGAAGCACAAGCATGCAGGCATCTGATCCTGCTTTGATGTCTGTAGGGACTGTGGACTTCAGATCCCGTGCCAGCTGGAACGTTGCATCTTCTTGCAGATTCTACCTGAAAATCACTTCTGTTAACCCCCTCTGGAGTTGGAAAGGAATTGGGAAACACTGCTGAAGAGCCAGGATTTCTGCTTTAAACTTCTAAACTACTCATTCATTATTTTTCTTCTAGCTCGATGCCCTGGTTCACAGATTCATTAACCTTCTGGCAGACACCAGTGACTCCAAGTCATCTGAAAGCCGTGTGTGGGACGCCAACATGGCCTGCAGGAAGCTCGCTGTGGCCCATCCCATCCTGCTTCTTAGGTACCACTCTCCCTTTTCACCCTCTGGGTGGTTGATGGTCATTGAAAAGCATCCACCCCTGTCCTAGCAGGGGAACAAACTGGCAGCAAAATTGATTATTGTGACAGAATCCACATTCACGTACAAAAGTCAAGAGAAAGGGCAGCAAAATTGTATCTTTTATAATGAGGCAGCACCTCTTTAGGCTCCATGTCTGTCTGGAAACAGCCCTCTTGGAGACTAGAGAACAGAATATGGGTGGGAAGTGGAGCTTGCTGACTCTATGGATGCAGGGATCAAATCCAGAATCCTGGGAGAGGATAAGGGATGCTTCCTTCCAGGAACTGAGGTGTAACAACGCGTAACTGTTTCTAGGAAGACGCTAGATCTGGATTTTCTTCTGTTTGGCATTTCAGGCACTTGCCAATGATTGCGGCTCTGCTGCATGGCCGTGTTCACCTCAATTTCCAGGAGTTCAGGCAGCAGAACCACTTGACCTTCTTCATCCACGTCCTGGGCATCCTGGAGCTGCTCCAGCCGCAGGTCTTCCAGAACGAGCACCAGGCGGCACTATGGGACTGTCTCCTGTCCTTCATCCGGCTGCTGCTGGTAGGAAAGTCCCTGCTCCTCCTCCCCGTGCCAGCTTCCAGCCACTAGATGGAGAAGCTCATTTAACACAGGGCCAGCCCGCTTCTCTCCCATTTGAAGGGAAAACTTTCATATGCCTAAAACCAAAAAAAAGTGCATCAAGTACCTGGGAGAGCTTAAAGAGGAGGCAGGAGATCAAAAATGCTGCTCCCTGGTCCCCAGAGGTGCAGGATGGGGCAGAGCATCACTGCTTTTATTTATTTATTTATTGTTAACTCTCATTTTCTCAATCCTTTCAGAACTACAGAAAATCCTCACGGCACCTGGCCGCCTTCATCAGCAAGTTTGTCCAGTTTATCCACAAGTACATCACCTGCAACGCCCAGGCAGCTGTCTCCTTCTTGCAGAAGCACTCGGATCCACTCCAGTAAGATTCCTTACTCCAGTAGCTCATGGAGAGTTTGTACAGTCAGGCTGGTGTGAGCTAATCATAAGACAACAAGAGGAAGTGACAAAATAGCCATTAATATGGCACTTCTTCACCCTTGACTCCCATAAATCTCTACTGAGATGAGCAGGATATCCCTTTTCAAAAGTGAAAACTGAGCCCAAGGAAGTCAGATCATGATTTCAACTCACATAATGGTCTAAATGTCCTGTTGAGGCATTGTAGGGCCCTGCAGTATTTCTAGATACCCCAGTGGGGTCCTTTCCCTGAGTGGTGGCTGCAGGGTCCCACCTGCAGAGAGGGGAAAAAATGCATTTGAGTTCCAGTTCCAGTAAAAGCAAAAATCTAGTTTCTGCTTCCAAGAAATTATTCATTTTAGAGCATACACATCTGTGCTGTTGCTTGTCCTCGTCCCTTGTTGAAAGTGAAACATGCCATTTCTTCCCCCAGTGACCTCTCATCAGACAACAGTGACCTAGCAATGTTGAAGTCCCTCCTGGCTGGGCTGAGCCTCCCTAGTAAGAGCGGTGTCTTGGACAGAGGCTCCGATGAGGAGAAGGATGGTGAGTCTCGGGGGGAAGAGTTACTCCAGCTGGTCAACCTGCAGTGAGTTTTGGAGCTCAGATGCTTTTATGGGCTGTGTGCTGTGCTCTTCTCATACCAGCACAGTGAAAGGGTATTTAGAGTGGAGAATGGCACTCAGCAATTTGGAACCAGTATCTGGGATGGGTTAATTTGTTTTCCTGTCAGTGGTGTCACAACTGGAGCAGAAGAACAGCTCTTAACAAGGGCAAGTTTCATTGGTGTGGATTTTGGCGGCTTCAACCGCACTTTAGGATTGACCTGTCAAGAGACCCAAAGGGTGTATCCACTTCTCCACTGTTTTCTTTACAACTTACATGAGAAAATGCTTCCCTCTGTCTCTCCCCTCCAGATGAAGCAGCAGCTGGCTCTCTCCCCCTCGTCAGTGTGTCTCTCTTCACCCCTCTCACGCCAGCAGAAATGGCCCCATATATGAAGAGGCTCTCTAGGGGCCAAACGGTTGAGGGTAAGTGAGGACCTGCAGGGCTGTACAGGGACACAGGGCAAGTGCTGACTTATCTGTCAGCTACAGGCAGTTTCCTGATTCAGTCCTGTGTCTGGAAGTCTCCAGCAGTTAGGATGTGCGTTTGTTTTGGATGAACTTGTCCGTAGCCTTCTGTGATTCTGTGACAGAGGCTTCCTGTGATGCTGTTATCACTCAGCTCAGCGGTGCTGCATCTGCCTCTGCTTTGGGGCTTGTTGAGGATCTTGTAAGTGCCCTGGGAGACAGTCTGAGTAACTCGGGGAGTGCTGCAGTTCATGTCGAGCCAGGTCTGGAGTGCTGATAGCAATGTCTTTTTTTTTAATGATATAAAAATACCAAACTGATGAGAAGCAGGTTTTTGTTAGAAATCCCCAAGTGGTCTTCATGGCAGAAAATCGTGTTAACCTGACATACAGGAACAACATGTTTCTTCCCAAAAGGTCTTCTGAAATCACAGGTGTCCTGTGTTCAGACCTAACTTGTGGTATTGGGGTCACAGTTTTCTTTCCACACTAGAAATGGGCAAAAGAAATCCTGCCTGGACACTGTTTTGAAAAACAGGCTTTCTGTGAAGATCTTTCAGTTACAGAAGTAATTACTTCTGTAGTAATTAGGAATTAAAACCTCACACCTCACTCCACTCCTTCCCCTGCCCGTGGCATGACAGTGCTGGTGACCTCTTGCCTGGGCAGACTGGGATGTGCTGGTCTGGCACATGACCTAACTGTTCTCATCCTTGTGAGAGATTAGGTTTTGGGGAAAAAGAAAAATACCTTTTGCTGGATCAGTGAATTTCAGTCACCTGTCTCAACCTGTGTCTTCCACCAGACATCCTGGAGGTGCTGACAGACATTGATGAGATGTCCAGACGGAGGCCAGAAATTCTCGCTTTTTTTGCTGTGAGTATTAGTGTCTCAAACTGCCACTGGAAGGAAGAGATACTTTTCACCACAGTCTGTGTTGCATGGCCAGCTTAAGAACTAACCTTCCTCTGCTTTTTGGATGGTTGTTGCAGCATCTTAGGAGAAATTTATCTTCAGTTAGGCCTTCTGACAGCAGGCAGTGGTTACTTCCCTACCATCTTCCTCCATTGCTTCCTGCCATCATCCATTTAATTTCTCTGCACATCAGAGGAAGAATTAACCCTCTGTTCTATTCCCAGTATTGGGGCGAGGAGAGAGCAGAACAGGTGTGTTGAAAACACTGGAGCCTGGGGAAAACTCAGCCTAGGAAAAACACAGTCCCATGTGGAATAAGGTTACAGGAGGGTGCTTTAAAGTATTCAAAAACAGGATAATCCTTCTTACAGAGAGTGATTTTCAGGCTCAGCCAGTGCCTCCTGGATGTGTGTTGGGCTGGATTGGTGCTGGAGGGGTAGCAGTGCAAATCTGAGGAGTTTGTGCTCCCTGGATGGCCCCTTGACCCTAATTTTGTTTGTCTTTCAGACAAACCTGCAGAAGCTGATGAGCTCATCGGAGGAGTCCTGCCGAAATCTGGCCTTCAGCCTGGCTTTGCGCTCCATTCAGAACAACCCCAGGTGAGGACCCCTGGAACGTAGGCTGTCCCCAGTCACTGATGGGCACTGGCTGCCCATCTCTCATGCTGGTTGATGGTGATCTGGACCATAATGACACTGTCACCATGTTTTACTCCCAGCATTGCTGCAGACTTCCTCCCCACCTTCATGTACTGCCTTGGCAGCCGAGACTTTGAGGTGGTGCAGACAGCGCTGAGGAACCTGCCTGAATACACCCTCCTTTGCCAAGGTAAGTTGGTATCTGCCACCTTTGGTGCCTGCTTGGCCTCACAACGATTAAAGCTGGGCTCCTGGGCTGGGAACAGCCTCCCTGGGAAGGTTGTCAAGGGCCAGTGTTGCTTAGACCAGGTGATCTTTCTGCCCAAAGAAGCTGTGGCTGCCCCAGCCCTGGAGGGGTTCAAGGGCAGGTTGGAGGGGGCTTGGAGCAACCTGGTGTGGTGGGAGGTGTCCCTGCCCAGGGCAGGGGTTTGGAACTGCATTATCTTTAAGGTCCCTTCCAACCCAAACTGTTCTTTAATTCCATATCAACAGCAGCTTTCGTCTGAGCATCACAGGGGAGGTTTGCCAAGGGAGGCTTCTTTCAAGTAGATGTGCTCCCTTAGGATTTTCCCCTGAGTTATGATTTTGTCCCCATGGAGCTATTAGAAGCTGAACTGTGCCATGTTCTTAAAGAAAGAGATTTTCTTGCACTTCTGCAAATGTTCATCCCGGTGTTTTCTGGTGGATTGCTTTTGGTTGCCTGTTGGAGCTGCTGGGGCAGTTCCTCACGCTGTCTTTCCCTCCCCCAGAGCACGCAGCAGTGTTACTGCACAGGGCCTTCCTGGTGGGCATGTACGGCCAGATCGACACCAGCTCCCAGATCTCAGAAGCTTTGAAGGTTCTGCACATGGAGGCCATGATATGAACGGGTGGTTCTGGGAGCTCTGCTTCCAGAGGAATTAACTGAACTGGACTCATCGGCTGCATCGGAGACAGCGTTTCAACCCGTGTGCTGGAGGATCAAAGAGGTGATGGAGGAGGCTGGACTGTGGAAGGAGGAAAAAAAGACTGGTGGAAGAGGAGAGTGTGCTGGCTGAAGATGAGAAAGGGGACAGGATCCATCTCTCTGGCTTAAGATGCCATTATTGTGGGAGAAAGATCTCCTGAACGTTGTGCCAAACAGGGACCACTTCCTTCACAGGGTCTTAAGGCAGTGGCTGATGGTTTGTTGATACAGTTTTGTCTCTCCGAGAAGAGCAGAGCTGCTGGGAGAGCAGAAGGGATCGCTGGCCCTTGCAGGGGAAGTCTCTGCTCTCTCTGTGTTGGAGGGAATGTGCAGATCTGTGCAGGGGGAGACACCACCCTGTTTTCTGGGGGTGGCTGTTTGTGGGTTTTTTTCTTTTTTAATTAAAATGCTCTTTGTTTCCATTGTGCTTTCCATGCTCTGTGCTGCCTTGGCTATAGCTTGAAAACTTTCTTTCCCTGTTCTCCAGCCTTTTGTTATTCTAGACCAAGCACCTCTGGAGGACCTGTCTCCATGGCCAAATGCTCCTAGAGCTGTCTTGGCCTTTTACAGGATATGCAGGAAATGGAGGAGGCTTAGGAGGGTCAGGGGGGTATAATAGATAAGTTTAGTCAGCACCAACTGCTGACTGGACAACTTTTAGGAGGTTTCTTAGGATGCTTTTCTTTAAAAACAATAAACAAGCATCTTGGTACATCTGCAAACATCCCAACAGCTGGCCACTGTCACACTGGGGTCCTCGAACAAGCAGCTGGGTTTCTTCTTTGGGATCAGCCAGTTCCTCCCTGGGACTCTTGTGACCACTGCTCTCTGGTCCTTGTCTGCTGACAGGGACGATGGCTGATTTCCCAGCTGTTTTTTGAGGACACAAACAGAGGTGTCTTCCTTCCCTCTGCTCCAGAGAAGTAGCTGCCTCCTGTGCTCCTTCTCCAGCTTCACTGAACGCTGGTCACCAGTTTGCTTTTCACGTTGTTCATCTCTATTCCCCTGGCACTCCACTTGTTAGTTGAGAATCTTTGTAGTATTCTAAAGACAGAGAACCCAGAGGAATTTTATAGATGGCTGTAAATAAGTCTGTATCTATTTGCTGGTGGCAGGGACAGTTGTGACCTCGTGGGTGGCCAGCTAGAGAAATATTGTCCATTTTTGCAAATGAGGAGTGCCAGAGCTGAGCACTTTTGCTAATGTGTCAAAATATGAATGAATGAGTGAATATTTGGCTGGTTTTGCGGAGAGCTGGAGGAGAGAAGGAAAAGCTCTGAACTCCCCATCAACTGGAAGTAGCCCTGCCTTTAAATGAAGTGATTAGAGCCATCGCTTAAGGATGCAACACACTCTTTTCCTCAGCAGCATCTGCTTGGCGTCCGGAGCCGCTGCTGTGACAATTGGCTACGTATAAATTCTGTGGAGGAGCAGCTGAAGAAGATCAAGTTGGTGAAATGGTTTTCCTGAGGGGCTCGGTGACAGCAGGATTAATGCCTGTCTAAAGGGTTCCCAGTGAGATTACTGGCTCCTCTCACCTTACTCCCTTATCAGACATCATTAAGTTTGTCAGAGCAGGGAGGTTGTTCTTTCGGTGCTGCCGTGGGCCGAGAGCGGCTGGAAACTTGTGGGACTGGCTGGGAAAGGTCTTTTCACAGGAATTGGAATGAAGGAGCAAGGAAAATGTCTCAAGACTGTTCACAAAGACAATGAGTCAAACAAAGTAGTGGTGCTTTAGTGGAGATCCTCCCTGCAGGTGGGGCTTTCCAGAAATCCCACTCCAGGGCAGTGACTAGAAACACTTAGGAATTGTGTGGTTGGCCCGAAATTCTGCTCTTGCCTGCTGTGAGCAGAGCAGCTCCAGGAGGCCTGGAGCAGTGGAGCAGGGGGTGCTTGGATGTTGGCAGAACTATTTATTGACCCCTCAGACCTGGATGGCCAGGCTTTGCAGAGCAGCGTGAAGAGAGGTGTCTGAAGGCAGAAGGAGTATCTCATTATCAGCAGCAGCAAAAACCATCTTTTGGGAGATCGGGAAACAAATTCAAAGGGAGGGAGAGTGGGTGGAAGTTACTCTGCGAAGCTGAGCCTTCCCATAGATCTCCCGATACAAAACCCATCATTTATGATTTGTTGATGTCTCTCCTTTTTGCTGGTTTTGAAGGTTCCCACGATGCATTTTCTCTGCTGCCACCCTCTGCTTGGAGCCAGTGGAGCTAAGCAGGATGCTCTGGCTTGGAGCACGTCACTGAAACCAGCTCAGGGTGGAGAAGAACGGGGCTGTCAAAGGGTCTCCTGGCTGTGCAGAGACAGCTGGGGGCAGGAGCCCGTCCCTCCTGTCTGCTGTGACAGCCCTGAGCAGTCAGTGATGGTGTTACTGCTGCCCTGACACCCGCCCGCCGTTTAATCAGCGCTCTCTAACTTTCATCTCCGCCTGGCTGAGCACCTTCTCTCCTCCCATCCCTGCTGAGCTGACAGCCTTCTCCTTCACCCAGGCTCCTCCTGGGGGCTGGGGCCATCTCCTCTGTCTTCCAGGAGAGCTGGTGCTTTGCTCAGAAGAGGAGTGGTGAGGAGCTTTGCCAGGTCGTTCTTGGCTAAGCCTGTAGGGTCCCCATCGCTCACCCAGTGGAAACCACTGTGCTCCCATCTGCATTCCAGATGACAGGTCCCAAAGGGGTACAGAATCACGGCTTGGGCACTTCTCCACCAGAATCTCCTCTAGTCAAGAGCTTTAGGAAGAAATTCTTTGCTGTGAGGGTGGTGAGAGCCTGGCCCAGGTTGCCCAGAGAAGCTGTGGCTGCCCCATCCCTGGAGGGGTTCAAGGCCAGGCTGGATGGGGCTTGGAGCAACCTGGTCTGGTGGGAGGTGTCCCTGCCCAGGGCAGGGGGTGGCACTGGGGGGGCTTTAAGGGTCCCTTCCATCCTGAACCATTCTGTGATTCCTAGGAGAGCCATGGGCTGCTGGGACTGGTGTTGAAGGAAGTCTGTGTGGGGCTGGGAATGCTGGCTTGCGGGGAGGCTTTTGGTCTCTGCTACACTGGGAATCTCATCCCAGCTCTGGGGGAGGCACAATGGGGAAGGGGACACTGGCTGTGGCCTTGTTGGGTGTCCAGTGACTGTGTCCAGCTCAGGGCTGGCACAAGCCCTTTGGTGCCTGTGTGGCTGGTGCTGGGCTGGGGAGCCAAGGGGGCCCAGGAGGAGCTGGGCAGTCCTGGGGCAGCCAAGGGGCTGCAGAGCCCCCCTGCTAAGCACTGGCTGGCAAGGATGGGGTAGGAATAGCTGAATCCAGGCCGGGAACATGCCAGGTCCCACCTCCATACCCTGCAAGTGTCAGGGATCACGAATCCCCTGCAAACACCAGGCACCTTTGGTGATGGTTTCCTACTGCAGCTTATTTCTCACTGCTGCAAAAATCAAATGTTTTTATGACTTGTGATCAAAATATCATGTTTTTATGACCCAGCCTTGGGCACGAGCTGGACACTTGGTCAGCATGCCCATGAAGGACCTTCACAGCCTTGGCTGGCTGGAAGTGGGCATCTCTAACCTGACCATATCCCGGTGGGGCTGGGAGGTGGCCCCACACGTACCGATGCCCTGGAGCAGGGGGGTGGCTCTTTGACCCATCTCTGGGCTGGGTTGTGCACCCCAGGAACCCTGAGGGGTTTCTTGGAAGCAGCAAGTGAGTTTGGGCGGCAGGAGGGCATGAGTAACCAGGGAGGTGGCTGTGTGTCCCTGACTCAGTGGCAGCTGCCTCTGGGGCACGTCTGACGTGGGGAACGGGACGGGTCCCAGCACCGAGTGGGTCGGGCAGATCTGCCTCTGAGCTACGTCAGCAGCGGAAACGCGGGGAGAATTACACAGGTAACAGCCAAGAAATGAGATTCCGTGGCTAAAGGTGCCGAGGTTTTACCAGCCACTAGAAAAGAGGAAGGGCAGAGAAAGTGAAGCCTCCCAGACCCCACCATCCTCTTCCTCCAGCCGACCTCATCGGTGACCTCGGTCAGTGACAAACACGATCCCGGCCCTGCCCGTCCTTAATTAACTTCCTTCTGGCCATCCCACAGTTCGCTGGAAGTGGGCATCTCTAACTTGACCATATCCCGGTGGGGCTGGGAGGTGGCCCCACACGTACCGATGCCCTGGAGCAGGGGGGTGGCTCTTTGACCCATCTCTGGGCTGGGTTGTGCACCCCAGGAACCCTGAGGGGTTTCTTGGAAGCAGCAAGTGAGTTTGGGCGGCAGGAGGGCATGAGTAACCAGGGAGGTGGCTGTGTGTCCCTGACTCAGTGGCAGCTGCCTCTGGGGCACGTCTGACGTGGGGAACGGGACGGGTCCCAGCACCGAGTGGGTCGGGCAGATCTGCCTCTGAGCTACGTCAGCAGCGGAAACGCGGGGAGAATTACACAGGTAACAGCCAAGAAATGAGATTCCGTGGCTAAAGGTGCCGAGGTTTTACCAGCCACTAGAAAAGAGGAAGGGCAGAGAAAGTGAAGCCTCCCAGACCCCACCATCCTCTTCCTCCAGCCGACCTCATCGGTGACCTCGGTCAGTGACAAACACGATCCCGGCCCTGCCCGTCCTTAATTAACTTCCTTCTGGCCATCCCACAGTTCGGGAGAGTATGATTCACGCTTAACTCGAGGAGTTGTGTGCTGCAAGATAAAAATGGTAAGCTTTTTGTTAGCTTTTAGGATGTCAAAGCCAGCCCCGTGCCAGGGAAGCAGGCTGGCTTCCACCGGGGCAGCGTTTGCCTAAGGTGGACTGATTTTTAAATCATTGCCTCTCCGTGTATTCAGATAATTTAGCCCTAAAGCAGCAGAATATAGAGCTTGACTTTTCCCCCTCCTTTTAAATTCAAGAGACCTCTATAACACGACGCCTGCCTGTCCTGGGTGGCTGAGCTGGTGGTGTCCTGCCTTTGGCATCACCCTGTTTCCATGAACAGCATCGCTAACGCAGGAAGATAGCGGGCAAAAAACGTCAAGACCCCCAGCAACAATTAAAAAAATTCATTAAGCTACAATAGGCCAGTCATTGCAGGGTAATTATTAAGCTGTAAGAATTGCTAATTGTCTTATTAGCATGAAACAATTATGCAAATAATGGAAAACATACCATAAAAGTAATAAAATTACCTCTTTTTTTTTTTTAAACAATAATGAAATTCAAAATCCAAAGTGATGCTGATGCTTTTGCTCTCCAGGGTTTATTGGGAACATCATCAGAGAGGAGTGAGACCTCTGAGGGCACTCGGCAGAGGGTGAGTAGGACACCTTGAACCACATCTACCACGAGTTGTCCTCCAGGGCTTGTGGTGCCCCCGCCCCAGGCTGTCCCCCAGTTCTGTGCCCACCTGGGGAGCAACGCAGGGACACGGGGGTGCCGGTGGCTTTGGAGGACCAAGCAGTGGTCACTCTGCCAGGCCAGGGCTGGAGAGAGAAAGTTTGAATTTTGTACTATCATAGATTTCCTATGGGAGCCCGTGTTCTCCCCCCTGCCAAATAAAGCATGTGGAGCTCCAGGTTCAGTCTGTGTGAAAACAAGGCAACTTGTAGTTTTTCACATTAATTCAGTGCAGAAGTGAAAAGTTCTGGCCTTTGAAGTTATTTTGTCTCAAGGATTTTATTATTATGGAGTTAGCAACCTCAGGTAAGAGCTGGCCTCTTTTCTGGTTGGGGTTCCAGCTGGATTTGGGAGGTCAGCGATACCCAAACGTTGAGCAAGCACCTCTGTGTTCCCGTGAAACGAGGACAAGACCTCGTTTTCCCCCACCACCAAGAGGAGACTTCACTTACTCATGTCCACAACCAGCTTGGAAGAGGCAAAGTGCTTCTTTGCTTCAGCATGTTAACAACGTTAATCACTAACAAATATTATGGGTTTTCCAGGCTTTAAACTCTGCTCCGCTGATAAGGCACAGAATTTCAAAGCAGCCAAGCCAGCTCCTGCTCCAGGGTGGGTCCTGCTCCCATGGTGATGCCGGTGTAGATATGGGTCACCTCATGCAATCTCGTGGTCCAAACAGGTTTTGATCAGCAAAATGAACCTTCACTTTTGCTTTCTGATAAGAGCAGTGAAGTTTGCAGCTTCCAAAGGCAGCAATCTGCCACGGCAGATTAGAGATCACCACCGCCTCTTTCAGCTTCCTTGGAAGGGGAGGTCACCACCTGAAACAAACACCATTCCCTTGGAGACCTGCTTTTGGCTTCCCAAGGCTCTGGTGACCCACCAAGCAGCTGTTTATGGCCTCTTCATTTTTTCCACCTCACCTGGTGTGTGGGATGCAGCACCTGAGCATTGTCCCATCCTCTCTGCCTGGAAGTAACTTGCTGACATCCACCTCCAGCCCATCCCACACCTCACTGGGTTTGGGGACAGGAGAGCTGGCAGGTCACCTCGCCAGCAGGCAGGAGGAACAAGGGAGAGAGGACTGGTTTCTTATTTGATGTGACATCACGTTACACCTAGGTGACAGGACACGCTTTGCTCTGGCGCTCACTATTTTTGGTTCTTTGAGGTTTTAGGAGAATGGATTTAGCGTTGATGAGCTTCTGGGAGGCACGTGTCACAGAGAGATTTACCGAAGCGCCTCTTTCTGTAACTTCACCTTTCACTTTCATCTTCTCTCAGTCGAAATTCCTGTTTGGACTTGAATTTTTCAATAACCTTTTTTTCTGCTACTTTGCAGGTCAGACTGGCCAGACTCGGGGGAGAGGCAGGAAGCGTTTCTGGGCGAGTAGCTGTGAAATCCTGGGCCTTTCTGTCTCCGTGGAGTCAGCCTGGCTGCCTTCTGGGAAGAGAGAGCTGATGAGGCATGTTACTGATGAGACACACACTTTTTTCCTTCTCGTTTTGAATCCCTCAGTTTAATACAAGCCACTGGCAGGGGAACGTGTGGGAGCTCTTGGCTACGACACCCACTTCTATTGTTGGGAGCGAACAGCCCCGCGGCAAAATGATGAAGTAGCTCAATTTGATCAGCTGATTTCCCACAATAGTTAAAAGATACGATTTCTGTCTATGGGGTTGCACTCTTTTGTGTAAAAAAAGAGAATGTATTACTTGGTTTTCAGCTTCATGAGGCCCCACGTTGTCTGATGTAAAGAATTGAGCCTTTCTCCCTCCCTCAAGTCCTCAAGCTAAATGTTAGTTGTTCTTCTTTGAGCTTTAGGGTGGTCCAAAAGTCATATATTTAAGCTTTTCTTCTATTAACAGTAAACTCCAGGCTGCTGCATATGGGAACCAGGATAAATTTAAGAGGTAATGGCAGAGGGTGATCCTCACTAGTCATAGTCATAGCAACCGTCAGGAAGCACTCAGCATTTCTCCGTTGCAGCTGGGTATCTGGGAAGAGAACTGAAAAGGACTGTGGAAGAGAAAGAAAAGGTTCACAGGAACGTGTCCAGGTGAGTTTTGAATGTCTCCAGAGAAGGAACTCCACCACCTCCCTGGGCAGCCTCTTCCAGGGCTCTGTCACCCTCACAGGAAAGAAGTTCCTCCTCATGTTTAGATGGAACTTCTTATGTTCAAGTTTGTGCCCGTTTCCTCTTGTCCTGTCACTGGGCACCACTGAGAAAAGACCAGCCCCATCCTCCTGACACCCACCCTTTAAGTACTAAAAGACTAAAAAGCCCCAAGTCCCTCAGCCTTTCCTCATCAGAGAGATGTTCTAGTCCCCTCATCATCTTTGCTGTCCTCTCTCCAGCAGTTCCCTGTCCTTCTGGAACTGGGGAGCCCAGAACTAGACCCAGTGCTCCAGATGGGGCCTCCCCAGGGCAGAGCAGAGGGGCAGCATGACCTCCCTCCACCTGCTGGCACACTATTCTTGATGCCCCCCAGGATGCCATTGGCCTTCTTGGCCACAAGGGCCCATTGCTGGCTCATGGGCATCCTGTTGTCCACCAGGACCCCCAGGTCTTTCTCCTCAGAGCTGGTCTCCAGCAGGTCTCCAGCAGGTCTCCTGGTGCCTGCAAGCCCGGATGCCTTTCTGATACAGCCATTGCGGTCAAATGCAGGTGCCCAGGCTCAGTGTGGGGAGGAACGAGGAGAAATGTGGGATGTACAGAAAATCACAGCTGCTCTCCTGGTCCAGCCTGGCTTTCTGCTCCATGGGGCTGTGTCCCCTGTCACCCAGCCCCAGCTGCCCCTTCCCCAAAGCGCGAGGTAATGAGAAGGGACTAACTGCATCGACTCATTAAGCTGGGTTTGTTAGAAGACAGATTGGCATGTTAAACAGATATATTTTTTTTTAAAAAAAACCTAAATATCGTTCCCTGGGCCATGCCCCATCTGGGCCATTAAATCTGAAAGGGGTAACTACAGCTGTGTCAAAGCTGGGCTCAGGAGCTGATTTTCACTCTTTGTACTATAAGCAATTGGCAATAATTCGGTTTTGAAACATGGTTTTCTCCTCGTTTCCCAGAGCTGCACTATGTGGGATGAGCAATCCTAAAGAAAACGGTCTTTGGGACTGACAGAAAGAGACCCCACAAACGCATTTCCTAAACCCATCGCATCCTCTTGTATTTCTCACCAGCCCTTAAGTTACCTGATGCCAGAGGACGGGGAAAGGCTGCCCGTCGTTAGCCAGATGGCTTTTTGTAAATTATGCACATTTTATTAATCTAATGAAAAAGGTGGTGTGGAAACGAAGCGGGACGGCTCAGCTTTCAGGGCTCCAGCGCCGCAAGTTTCCGACTTGCGAGGAAGCAAACATCTTTTTTTTTCAAGGGGAGGAGGGGAAGGAAAATAAAACCCAACAACTTTGAGTTAATCCAGCATTTCTTTTAATCGGTCCCTTGGTGGTTTGGTTAATTTTGAGTGCTAATGTTTGTGCTTTCCTCCCCGGTGCTCGGGAGCAGGCTCACCCTGCCGTGTTTCCTCCTGGCCCCGCCGTCCCCGTTCCCCTCCTGCAGCAACATATGCTAAGGCCTTATTATAAGGGATTCCTATAAATGGCATAAAGGATTAATAATGTATTTATAACACAACTTTGTTTTAGTATAAAGTGATCTATAAATTTGTAATAAATGTTTTATAATGTTTTTGTAGCCTGTTATAAATGATAAATGGGAGACTATAGATGCCACATCAAATATTCATGCGGCATTGTGTGCATTATTATGCCGTTACTGTTCAGGAAACCATTAATAATAAAGTGAATGGAGATGTAAAAGTTGCTGACATGCCCAGCAAGCCATTTATAATGAAATGTATAATCCTTACCATAAAGTAAATACATTGGCCAGTGATTGTTGATGAAATGGAAACGCACTGAATTATTTGTGAGGTATTTATATATTAATGTATATTATCCATATCATATCACAGAAATGCCATTAATATATTATATTATATGTATTATTAATTATTTTTACCTAATTTATAGGCAGCCCTTTAAGTGTTACCTTGTCTCTTCGGCAGCTGTGGCAGCCACAGGAGATCTGGTGAGTGATTTTTAACGTGAGGTGGGGACTGGCAATGGTGCTGCTGGCCCTGGCCAGCCCCACAGCGGGCGGCCACCTTTCTCCCTCCCTCAGCCAGCCATCCTCCTCCTCCTCCTCTTCCTCCTCTGTGGGGATGGGGCTGTGGGTGACAGCAGATGGCTACTGGGTGATGGTGGACAGCTGTGGGCGATGGTGGATGGCCACCAAGTGATGGCAGATGGCCACCAACACCTTACGGGGTGCCCCACACCCCGTGCCCATAGCCGGCCTCCCTCCTTCCCCAGCCATTATGAGGCCTCTGGGCTGCCATGCTTCATCCTCCTCCTCCTCCTCATGCCTCCCCTGTGTGTGAAGGAAACTCCCTTTGTCCCCAGGGTGTGAGGGAAACTCCCTTTGTCCCCACAGCGGTGGCCCAAGGCGAGGGTTGCCATGTCGCGACAGGGCCGGGGGCGCGGCAGCCCCCGCTCCCTGTGGAGAAGCAGCCGCCCTGCTGTGACCCAAACCCCGGCCTTTTCGGCCATTTCTCCTCTCCTCCTCCTGGCGCGGCCCCGGGGGCGAGGCGGAGGGAGGCCCTGAGGGGCCGCCACCGCCCGCCCCTCGCCCGCCCCTTTCCCCGCCTCCTCCCCGCCGCGGCGGCCGCCACACGCCGGCAGCCTCCGGCCGGGCTGAGCAGGGCGAGGGGCTCCCTCCTGCCCCGCCGCCATCCCTTCCCGCCCCAGACCCGGCCCGGCCCGCCGAGGCCATGGCCGCCATCCAGAACCTGCAGCTGTGGTGCAAGCAGCAGTGCGAGGGCTACCGCGATGTCAGCATCACCAACATGACCACCTCCTTCCGCGACGGCCTCGCCTTCTGCGCCATCCTCCACCGCCACCGCCCCGACCTCATGTGAGTACCATCGCCGGGCGTCGAGGACGGGGCCCTCCCTGGGCGGGAGGGGGTCAGGCCGCCATTGAGCTGCGGGCTCTGGGCCTTCACTGTCCACCATGGGCCCCTCCATCCACCGTCATGGACCCTCACCATCCCCACAGACCCTCACCATCCCCACCGACCCAGCCCAAGCAGGACTCCCAGCTCCTCCTTGGGAGATGCCATGGGTGGGCAACCGGTTCCAGAAGCTCCATTTGCACCCACCCCAAACCACCTCCAAGCCAAGAGCTCCTCTCTGGCTGCCGACATGTCCTCTTCCCACCCCCACCTATATTTTCCCTTTTTCTGTGGCTGAAGTATAAATACTTTAAACGTGTCCTTTCCATTGCAAGACAAGTTCAGGCACCAATCTTTGGGGGAAGCGTTTCCTTCTTTGCTGTTTGTGTTTGCTTAGGCTGGGCTGTCCTCGCTCAGCCGCTTATGAGTTGGGAGGCGAGGGCTATTTAAACAAAATACAATAGAAAGGCAGGGCCCGGCAGCCGCTGGATTCCTGCATATCCCTCGGTTTTCCCATCCAGAGCTCGCTGTGTGGGAGGCAAAGTGTTTTCCAGCCCTTGTTGGTGTGGTTGGTGGTGGCCTGTGGGTTTTGACCCATCCCTGCTGGAATGTTAACCTCTGAGAAGGTAAATCGCCGAAGCGAGACGTAGATCCTGCTTCCTAGTTGGTTTTGTTTTCACTTTTGGGCTTGTTGGACTTTGAGGTGGGAGCGTTGAGACGGGAGGTCAAGGCAAGGGAGCAGAACACAGATTGCCCAGGAGCATTGATTTAAGTGTTGCGTCTCTCCCGGTCCAGCTGGTGGAGGACCAGGCTGGGTGTTCTGTACTGCAGTTTTCCTCTTGTTCCTTGAATTCTGCCTTTTTCCTTGTGGTCCCAGGATAGTCAGCTGCTTCGATTTGTGTGCAGAGATCTCTCTTACAGGTGTCTTGCTTCTAGTGGAAGCCCAAGGAGAAGATCTCCTCATGCTCGCTCTGTTGTTGTGAAGCTTGGAAGAGGCAGGAGCAGGTTTGGGAGGTTGGTGCAGGAGCTTCAGGGACCCTTTCTCTGTTGTCCCCAGTGCTTGGGCAGTCACCATGGTGTTGCTGTGTGTGCTTTCCTGACACACCGCCATGTCCACGTGGCTCCAGATATTTCCTTTCCTTCCTATGATTCACAGTCCCAAAGATGCTAAATTCCGGGGCAGAAAGGTTGACGTTACCAGGAGGTGCCCGCAGAGGGACAGTGACTGCTTCCTGGCCGACTCTGCTCCGGATGGGCCAGCTGCATGGCTGTAAACAGGGGCTCAGTGACGTGAGAGCTGGAATTATCCCATTGACTAGTTGAGTGGGTTGTTAATAATCCTTGAACTGTGCATGGAGGGTTGTGGATAGACATGCCTTAAATAAACACTCTGTAGCGAAGAGGGAATATGTTCCTTGTGGCATCTCTCTCTTCCCATTCATTTTCTTTTACGATGGAGATTCTGCCTGACTTTATTCAGGACCTTACAGAAGCTCTTTCTGACTTTGACCCGCTCAGCAAAGACTTCCTGAAGGTTAGAGAAGCTTTTATTGGTGACCTCCCTCCTCGGAGTCAGTGGTGTAATGCAGGAAAGCACCAGGTGTATCCTTGGCTGGGCAAAGTCCTGCTGGAAGGAAATTAAGCTTTCAAGTGGCTGGTGGCCAGGGCTGCCGGGTGTCCTGTGTCAGATCCTGGGGCTGAATACTCTTGCAAATTCTCTGTGAATTGGTAAAATCTTGTCTGAGCATTGGCAAGGCAGGAGCCACTGGCAGAGAAGTGTGTCTGGGCGCACGTGTGGCTGTGACTCCTGTTTCCTGGGGGTTTGACGTGGTTTATCCTGAGCTCCTCCCCTTGCTTCCAGCAAAGATCCTAGTTGAAGATTAAAATCATCATACTGAAAAAAAATGCTAGAAAAGGATAATTGGCGTTTGGAGTTCTCTGTGTGTTTGCAGCAGCTCTGCTGTATAAATCACTTGCAGAAGATGATTCGGTCACGGCACCAGGGTTTTGCAATAGTGTGTTTTCCGGCTTGGTTTACACAAATGACATTCTTAGGCTGAGGAGTGCAGGGGATTTCTCCTTGCTGGAGCTTGAGAAATTCCCAGGAAAACTTCAAGCAATTGCAAAACATGGTCATAATCACGGGCTTCTCTTGTGGGGTCCGTGGGCTGGAGGACAGGCTGGTGTGGGTCTGTCCTGCCTTCCTGTTTTCTTGCTGGAAAACATATGGAAAATATGATAACTTCTCTGAAACTTGGCTGCTGTCGGTGTGTATGTTATCGGTGAACTGTGTAAAATTAGAAATGCATTTCCCACTCACTTCCCACTCGCCCAAGGATGCTCTGGGGGAGTGGAGACTCGTGCTGAATTACCATGGAAATCCATTTCTCTTTTGTCCCAGCTGCAGAGAGCTTCATAGCCAGCCCAGGCCAGGCAAGGATGTGGTGTCAAGCAGTTTCTGGGGTGATTGTGAAGCCCTGGGGTCACTCTCATGGGAGGGATGTGGTAGGAGGCTGAGGTCTGTGGCTGCTGCATGTGATGGTGATGGCCGTGCAAGCTCCGACCACGTTTTCAGTGGCCTTGGCTTGATACGTGAGTTAAAGAAGCAGGGGAGCGCGCCACGCTCGCTCAGCTATTAATGCCAGATGTCAAGGAAAGGTTTTGATTAAGCTCCTTCTCTCTGTCCGGGATCTTGCTCTTTCCCAGACTGTGAACTGGTGTTTTAGCTCCACGTTCCGGGAATTGGCGGGTTGTGAAATCCCTTTGGAAGCCGAGCAGCAGTCGGCACCCGTTCCTCCAGCAGCGTTTCAGCTGTCGGCTCCGTGGGGCAGGATGAGGCCGACAGTCACCCATAGGGACAGAGAGGGCCCTGGCTGTGCTGAGAGGAGGATGGACACATGGGATGCATCTTCCACCTGGGATTCCCAGCCCTGTCCCCTCTCCCCGGGTTGTTTGCACCTCCAGAAGGAGCAGGGCTGCAGGGTCCTGTTCCCAGCAGATCATGCTGGGTTTGAACCCTCTGTTCAAGGACTGAGCAGGCAAAGGGTGTTTCACTGTTTTTCAGTGATTCTTTTGACTGTGTATATTTTATTGTCTCTAGAGATAACAGAACTGAGAGGCAAAAGCTTTTGGGGGACTATCGTGGCTCTGGGATTTATATTTTTTCTCAGTCTACCGCAAGGTAAAGTTTCCAACTGAGTCAGTGCTTGCAGCAGCAGCAGAGATTCCTCCCAGGGAAGCCCCTGTGCTTGTGAAGGATGTGATTTGCAAGAGCTGGGTCTGTGCAGCTGGAGCCGTGGGTGGTCATGGAGATTTGTGGGCATGAGAAATGCTCAGCCACTTTTTACTAAGAGGAGGATTTTTTTGAGGGGGGAGCTAAAAACTTCGCTTCTGTTCCTCCACTCTGATTTGTTGCCAACTCTCTTGGGTCAGATTTATATGTCTCACCTCTCCCAATTAATTCAGTTGCCTGCGCTTCCTCTGTGGAGAACTCCTACTTCTCCGTTTGTATTAGCTTTGCTTTCTAAGAATTACATTGGCCCAGAGAGCTTTGATATTCCACGATAGGAGATGCACCAGCAAGATCAATTTGCAAAAGACATATTATACGTAAGTAGTTCTCCTGAGTAGCCAGGGAAGGAGTGATGCTGAGAGGGCAGGAAGGTCTTGAAATGACCAAGTAACATGGTTGTTTGCGTTCTCCTTCAGGAAACAGGAGGGGATTCCAGTCATTCACCATCAGAAACTGGGATTTTTCGGTCTCTCTTACATTCCATGCAGTGTGAAGCTGCACACACGTGCTCCCATAGCAAACAGCATTCAGCGTGGGAGAGAAAGGCTCTGACCAACAGTAAATAGGTAACTCCAGTATGTTATGTCTTTAGTGGCAGCACAACCCAAGGAGCTGGAGCTCCTCTCTGCTCTTGCAGGTGTTTTCCTGTGTTCAGGATCTCCCCGCTACAGAGGCTTTATTTGGGAGCGGAACAGGGAGTGAGGCAGAGAGCTGCAGTTACCTCCTTCAGCTGGCTCTTAAAAAAAGCTGATTTTTTTTTTTTTTTTTTTGCCTAACACAAAACAGGATGATTGTAGCTATTGTTTCACTGACAATTTTTTTTGGCTTGTGATTATTTTTGTTGCTCTTTTTTAATCCATTGTCTCAGGGAAGGGAAATCTCTGGGCTTGAAGAAAAAAACCTCTGCAAGTCCCTTTGATTTTGCACAGGAAGGAGTGTATGAGGTGGGATGTGCCTCCTATTTATGTGTTTCTTGGGGGAGTTTGACCTTTTGGGTTTTATCTGTCGTTGGTTCTCTCCTTATCCCACGTAGCAACGCCAGATGCGGGGAGGAGGCACAGACCGTGGCACGATGGAGAAACCAGTTTGAAGGCACCTCTTATTTCTAACGTAACGTTCCACTTTCTGTGCTGAGCCGGATAAAAGGAGCTGCCTTGTGCCTTGCTGTTACCAGGCATGGAAAAAGTTCCCCTGCTGCGCTGCAGATCATGTGATTGTCTCATGAATAGGTCACACCGTTACCCTGGCTCCTCTCGGAGGTGAGGGACTGGCTATCGAGGGTAGGTCCACGTCGGTTACGAAGGTGCTACCTACAAAATTGCCAAGTTGTTGTTGTAGCCCTTTATCAGCCAGAGTTTCCTCTCTGATACCAGCCTTCTCGCTCAGCCCTGTGCCAGCAGGTACAAGGATTGGAAAGAATTGGGTTATGAGAAGGGAAGTGACCCTGCCCGCTGGCCTGGGCAGGAGGAGGTGGCACTGAGAGCAGGGCTGCCAGCCCACAGGCAGGTTTGTGTCCCCAGTTCAGTGACAGCCAGTTTAAAACAAAGCTGACGGTGGCTGTTTCCTAAGCGAGGGACACGCTCTGCTGTGGGGGACAAAGCACGCTGTGATGTGGCTGCTTCCAAAAATTCACTTTTCCCCGTGATTTCTTACCTGTCCTGCCACGTCCCAGTTTCCCAGTTCTCAGCACAGTGCAGAGAGAGGTGGCATCTGGGCTGGACTGGGCAAATCTGGGGAGAGGGGAAAAGGGAGGTGATGTGCAGGGACAGCAGAAGGGAAGGAGGGTTGTTGACTTTGGCTTGTGACTGTGAACAGTAATTGTCTCTTCCTTTTCAGTTATTGGTTATGATTACAGATCAAAGGTGACAGCCCTAGGGAAAGGAGAATAAGATTTATTTTGGTGTTATCAGCCACAGTATTGTGTTGTGAGCAGAGGTATTTCCCAGGCAGATTCCTGGTGCTGGTTTTGTGGAGCTCTGCCAGGGGAGAAGAGAGGATTTGAAACCAGAACTTGTGTGCTGGTGGAACCAGCAGCTTCTGGGATATGTCCAAGTTGGAGAAGCGTGCGGTACATGCAGCATCTGAGGGATCCACACCTCCTTGGAGCTGAGGTCTCTCTGCGTGGAGACAACTTGCAAGACAGGAGAAGAGCATGGATGTGACTGTTTGGAAAGGAATTCCAGGGAGGAGAGTGGTGCAAATCTGGCTGGCAGACATCGGTGTGTCTTTTTGAGGTGGGAGAGGAGCAAGGCTTTTTTGGGGGCAAAAGACCCCTACCCCGTGAGTTAGAGGTTGCTCCTGGCTCTCTCAGCAAACCCCCTGAAACCGCATGGGATGTTTTGGCACCAGCACATCCTGTCCATGGGAGGCTGTGAGAGTCAGCCCTGCAAGAGGAGATGTGCCAAAAATGTGTTGTGCTGCCCACGGGCAGATGGCTGTGCCCGCTGGGTCTCCTGCACGTCTCCATCCAGGGAGGTACAGCAGGTCTGTGGCTGTCTCCAACGGGATCTGCCACCCTGCTCCCTCCGGAGTGCCTCTGAGGAGGCAGGAGGTGCTCTGTCCCCCAAAGCAGTGAGGCTCAGAGACCTTCAAGAAGCTGGAAGTGAAGCAGCTTGCTCTGCATCACCAACCTGAGATTTTTCTCTTCTTTCTGTATTTCAGAAACTTCGACTCCCTCAGTAAAGAAAATGTGTACGAGAACAACAAGTTGGTAAGTGACTTCTAATGTTTTATTTTTGGTCTAGTCTACGACATGGCACCTTGCTTATGGGGTTTAGCCACAGAACCCCTGCAGATGTAGGGTGCTGAGGGTGCCGTATCCAAATCCTTTGCTTTATTCTGCATGTGTCCAGCCCTCTGATTTGAATGGCAATGTCCAGGCTCACTGGCTGCTTCAAAGTCCCCTCAGACTGCTCACACTTCTTCACTGGCTGCACAGCAATGCCTGTGTCCAGTGTGTCCCGTGGCAGCAGGAACTTGGACAGAGATGCTGGAGGCCAAGGCATGGACATGTTGAGTACATGATGGTCCTGAAGGTTGGAGCAGGAGTTGGGAGGCAGCTGATGTGAGAGGGGAAGCACAGGGAGTCTCTCCCCATTTCTGCTTATTCCCAGTGCAGGGAATGAAGGCTACTGGAAGGTAGAGACATCCTAAATCCTACCTGGATGCTTCACTCCAGGGTGGGATTTGAATTTCTCTTGTTCTCTCTATGAAAAAAGTTGAAACTGGGCAGGCCAACCCCCTTCTGCAGTGGATTCAAGCACGAGCTTAGTGCTCCAAGGAAGGATTTTTTTTTTTTTCTCCCTCTTTCCCTTGCAAAGAGGGAGGCAGCAGATTTAAAGTGCTTCTTTTTCCCTTGGCATTGCTCCACACAGCTTCGTGGCTGCTTGGCAGGAGCTGGGGATGTGGACAAACCACGGCAGCTTACTCTTGTCTGGAGGAATGACATCCTCTGACACAGTGAGCTCTCTGAGGTGGTCCTTGTCCCCGGGAGAGCTAAACTTAGCCCCCCTGCTTCTTAGCTTCTGCTCCCCTTCATCCCTGGCCATGTTCATGGCGTCTGTGATGGACTCCCATCTCCCCAAGCTGGGGCTGCAGTATGTGAGCAGTTATTCACACTTTTTGGGGTTCAGCCCTGCATGTTCCTCTTCTCTAGGTCAGATTCAGACGTTTTTTGCGCTTCAGGGTTGGTGTTTGGCAGACTTTAGGGCCTCTTCTCTGTGGATGGTCATCCCAGCCAGAGTGCTCTGATGGTGTCTGCTCTGCTGGCTGCTCTTGTCCCTGGGAAATGAGCTGTACGAGCCGCCTCCACTGCTTTTATTAATGAAAAGCTTCTTTGTGCCTCTCATAAAAAGGGCTGCTCCCTTCCTTTGTCGCAGCCTGTGTTTTTCCCCCCTCCTCCCTCCATTTCTTAGCTTCTTTTATGTCCTCTATTTTGCTCTGCTTTCCTTATTCCACCTGCTGTAGGGTGACTTGTCTGTGTAGCCCTTTCACTCCTGGTGTCCTGCTGCCTTGGCTCTGCTGTGAGTGGGGTTGACCCCTTCCTCTCCCTGGGGGCTCCTGGGCTGGGCTCCCCCCTCAGACTGCTCTCCATCCCATCTCCTACGCATTCTGGCTTGGGATACAATCAGGTCTGATTTCTCCCAGCACTGTTCCTCAGCTGTTGTTCAGACCCTCCTTGATTGCCTGTTCAATAGCTTCTTTTCAGGAGCTGTATTATTCAATTAAAAAAATCGTGTCCGGGCTGCAATTTGCTGTATAAGGTCTTCTGTTGAGGAAGAATGTGCCACTTCTCAAGTGCCAAAAAACCCTGAACCCTAGGAAAATTTCAGTTGGTGGCATTCTTTTGCTAAAGACTTCAAAAATTTATAAAGAGGATAAAGGTTTTTCTCGAACTCTGGGAAAATTTCAGTTGGTGGCATTCTTTTGTTAAAGACTTCAAAAAATTTATAAAGAGGATAAAGGTTTTTCTAGAAGCCTTGGATCCAGTTCTTTCCATGCTAATGGGTGGTGGTGTGGTGTGGCAGAGACAGCAGTGGCCTGGGTCAGAGGGAAGCTGTTCCTGGCCAGCTCAGGTGGCCTCGAGCATATCACTTTGCCTCCTCTATGCAGAACAGGAGCAGTGACACTGACCCTCCTTCATTGAGCACTTGGAGATACACTGATGAAAAACATTATGCAGAAATAACACGTTGCTGCTTAAGTGCCAGCCTGGGCAGGCCTTTAAGGAGGAGAAGGGCAACTGGGCCATGTCAGGTGCTGATCTCATTGGACCTCCAGGCAAGAGCAGTTCCCAGGAACAGGAGGATGCTGTAGGCACAGGGGACACTACATTCTAGTGCTGCTCATGGCATTGCTCACCCAGTTCTGGCCAAACCAGTTGCAGATGCACAGAGCATCCTTCTCTTCGTGGTCCAGGCAGCCCCTTGCTCTTGTTCGGTGCCTGTTGTGCTGGTCTCAGCCGTGGCACCGTCTGGCAGGAGGTGACGTGGCCTGTGTTCCCACTAGGCTGCACACCAGGAATGTCCAGCAAGAAAACTCCACTGGTCAGACCAGTTGTGCAGCCAGTGGAATGGGGAAAGCTCCAAAGAATATATAAAGTACCAGGTTACAAGACTGGCGAGTGCCAGGCTGGGCTGGCAGCCGGGATGACGCAGCCGGAGGTAACTGGCTGAAGGCGTGCTTCATGTCAGCTCAGTTACATTTTTACTGGGATACCAAATGGAAAAAAATGGTAATTATCTTGCTTAAAAAATAATGGCTGTTTGTTTCTTCTAAGCAGGGATAGTTGGCTTGTACACCAACGCTGCTGTGTGTCCCTGCCAGAGGTCGGGTGCGGAGGGTTTTAACACGTTCAAGTCTTTCTTTAACCCTTTCACTCTGGGGTTCAGCAGGAGCCTTCCTTGTGCCTCCGTCCCTGCAAGTGCTGTTTTCCTTTGCTGTGTTGGCATTTCAAAGAGGGAGGGAAAGGATTTTTTTTCCTGTAAGCCAGGAAGGAGGAAAGCTGGAGCCAGTCCCTACTAAAAGCCCTACACTGAGTTGAGCAAGGGCAAAGTTGCTTTAGGGGTATTGCATCTTTTTTTGTCCTCTGGTAAAGGCTCTTGTTCAGAGGCAAAAGGAAACAGCTTTTCCATCCTTTAATTGACTTTAATCCTGCAGTTTCAAAGCAGGCAGCATGAAAATGGTTAAGTTGGAAGGCAGGTAGGTATCAGGAATTCTTCTCTTTTATTCCGCTCTAGTCTGGGAGAGAGAGCTCCTTCCCACAGCCTGAGATTTCCCCTTTTTCAGCTGGGGAAGAGCAGGCAGTAGGGCAGGAAGAGCTAACATTTGCCCAGCACTCGGAGCTAGAAAGCTGCCTGCAAACACCTACCGGCCCACCGTTAACTGGGGAGAGCTCCAGGTTGGGCTGGAAGCCTGGAAGCGAGTTTGCCAGCCCGGATTGACACATCCCCTTCTGCCAGGCCTCGCTCTCCACAGCTGTGCCTATCCAGATAAAGGCAGGCTGGAGGAAGAGGAGGGGAAGCCCAGGTGAGTTCCTGTGCAGTGAGCTACGGCCAGCTTGCCAGGCCAGATTTCTGGCTCCCTGCCTGAATTTCTCAAGGCGGTGGCTGGAAGCCATGACTCCGTTGGTTCTTGTAACGGCCGTACGATGTAGGAGTTAAACTGGTGCAGCTGTTCCCCAGTAGAGTTATTATTCAAGTAGGGCTGTGGAGTTTCTTCCTTCTGATGAGAAGCAGCTCTTCTGCCTGGGCTGGAGAAGAGACCCCATTTGTGTTTTTGTTTTTTTTTTTTCCTTCCTTCTCTAGGCATTTCGAGTGGCGGAGGAGGAGCTGGGCATCCCAGCCTTGCTGGATGCGGAGGATATGGTTGCTCTGAGGGTACCAGACAGGCTGAGCATCCTCACCTATGTTTCCCAGTATTATAACTACTTCCATGGACGGTCTCCTAGTAAGTACCATATTCCCTGAAGGGGTGGGAAGGATTGGGGCTCAATTTTGTGCTTTCCCTTGCCTTCTAACAAGCTTGGAAAAGCAAAACAGACAGCACAGTGGCCTTTTGGTACTAAAACTATTTCAATGGAGGATCTAAACTCTTTATACACTGGCCTACAGTATCACCAGTGCTTTTGGAAGGGCACAGGGCCATGCTTTGTCTTAAACCAGTTCCATAAAATTTAATATACAATCTAAGATTTCTTAGAGTTCAGCCAGATAAAACCAGTGGTGTAAAATTTAATACACAATCTAAGATTTCTTAGAGTTCAGCCAGACGGGAGCAGCGAAGGTTGCTCTGTGTGGTCCCCACCACAGCTTTCCTTTCTCAAGCACGTCCATCCTTGCTCCAGTCCTTGCCACACCAGAGGATGGGTGGGAACAGGGAGTTTAACAAGGCTGAGCTTGTGTGTGGGGCTGTGCCAGTGTCACAGCATCCGTGGCAGGGCTCGTACAGCACAGCGGTACTGATAGAAGGAAGTACAAGAAAATGACCCCCTTAACTGACATAATCGTGATAGCAATTCTTTCAAACATAAAACAGGCCACAGAGCTGCCAAAGCATTATATTCACGTACCAGAGAGTCTATCTGGGCTCACAGGAGCATTATTGTAGACTTGGTTTATATTTGGCTTTAAGCTCATACAAAATGAAATAATACGATAAACCAATTTCACAGGTTCCTCCAGAGGAAACTTTAGAAAGTGGGACATGAATGACTTAACTAGTTAAGGTGAATCTAGATGGAGAAGACAGATCTGAAATGAAAATGTCCTACATCCTGGAAAAAAAGCACAATTCACTCTGAGAGCTGCCTTTAATGTCTAAACTCTTCCCCCTTCTCCACCTCATTACACATTTAAACATGCTTTTCCTCTCCTTCCACATCCTCTTCCCTCCCCTCCTCTTCATTTTTTATTTCTTTTTTTAAACCCGTGCTGATTGAAATCAAACAAATCCCATCGTGTTTGTGCCAAGTGGTGGGAATCTGGGTCAGTTTGGGGTCTTTACCCTCCTCCCCCTCAGCGTCCTGCCTACCACATCATCCAGCACAGCGCATATTTATACTCTCTGGTGTCCCACAAAATGCTCTGGTCGCATTCCTGTTGCTGGGGTGAAATGTGTGTGTCTGAAAATGAGCCTGGCCAGGAATGTGCCCTCTGACACCGAGCAGACTCCTGATACCACGGTCGTGCCCTTCCAACGGGCTCCAGCAGGACCAGGAAATAAGCAGAAGAGGGCGAGTGGCCAATATTTTATTGAGGTCAGGCGTTTATGAAGAACGAAGCTGAAGCCACCCATCTTTGTGCTGGGCTTTGGGAACTCAATAAATGGTCCGAGTGGGAAGCGAGGGGGCAGCCCCAGTCTAAACCCTTTCCTGGGTCAGCTGTCACCAGTCACTGTGGTAAAAGAGCCCTGGGTGTTTATTTGGATTTATTGAGAGAAAACTGCTGGGAACTGAGCTTCCTCTCTGCTCCCTACACCCTGCTCAGACGCCCTCTGTATTTGCTGAGAAGGGTGTAATCCTTTTTCAGACGGGTGGTCATATAATTGGTTGCTCTTAAAGTGAAGATGTGGCTCGAATAGCCCACAAGGAACACAGAGACATCTCATTGAGAGTAGGAAACTGTGCAAAAATAACATCCCTGTGAGACAGATGAAGGGTCTCGTCTGTAAAAACTGTGCATGAAGCCTTATTTCCCAGGGAAGGCTCGTTCCTTGCTTGATTGAAGTGTGTTTGGGATTCTCTTTTCTCCGCTTGTTATGAATTTAGAGGGTTTCTCTTTCATCTGGAAAGAGGAGGACTGGGCGTTCTCAGGTTTCTTGAGGCTGTTGGTTTCTGCATCAGCACCACCATGGCACCTCCAGGTCCCTACATTAGAATTATCCATTTTTAATGGTCATTTCTGCATCCCACAAGTCTGTTTGTTCTGTGAGAGTCCCAGTTGGGATGTGGGCTGGACGCCCACAGCAGTGAAGGTCCAGGGAGTGTAGGAAGCCTGGAGCAGAGAAACTTGGATGAAACAAACCCTCCATGTTTAATTCCTGAGCTGTAATACCTGCTGGTGGTGCCTGTTTTAGTGGTGATCAGTTCCAACAAAACTGTGGGCCAGGTACGAACCCCAGGTCTTGTTCACACCATTGACCGATGGTGTTTCTTTATTCCCCTCCATGGAATTCCCTGAGAAGGAAAAAAAATCAGCAGTTTCAGGTACCAGGTGATTCCAGTGTATGTTGGTAAAATTAATTTGTCACCTCTTGCCCCTCATGTCACTATGGAACAGCTTGTGAAGGAAGCTGTCCCCCCTTGTGTGCTTTGCCCACAGGTACTTCTGTATCTTCTTATATTGTAAATGATGACCAAACTCATGGGTTTGCCTTATGTGACTTTAAAATCTTCCTTCCTTCCAGTTGGAGGCATGGCTGGAATCAAGCGTCCTTCCTCTGAGCCTCAGGAGCAGCCTCTTGGGAAGAAGGCTGTTGCAGAGCCTCCCAAACCAGTGCCACCAAAACTGCCTCCTGCCCACCCACCAGCCAGAGCTAAGCCAAAAGAAACCTCCCCGGTCACCACGGTAAGAAATGTGTTTTGGGGTGTTCTTTCAACTTCAAATCTGTTTGGGGAGCTAGAGATGAAGGCTTTTAGTGGTAAGGTGGTCCTCTGGATCAAGTCCTCTGGCTTTGTGGAAACAAGTTCCCTTAACTCTATCCTCTTCAGGGCTGGAGCAGGGATTTCCTAGCCAAATGGCTACCTGGGAGATGGGTAGGTGTACAGGGGGCCACGGTGCTGCCTGCTCACCCGCTGTGTTTTCCCCACAGAAGGGGGTCCTGGCAGAGAGCGGGAACATCCCGAGCAGCAGCTGTGGGGTCTGCGGAAAGCATGTCCACCTGGTGCAGCGCTACTTGGTGGATGGGAAGCTCTACCACAGGAACTGCTTCAGGTACAGCTTGTCACAGTGGGACACAGGTCTGTGGGTCACAGAGGGGCAGCCTGGCTCCCTTGGGACTGGAGGTAGAACGGTGTGAAGCACTCGAGGTGGTGGAGGACATCTTGGAGGCAGCCTGGGCCTGAACTTGACCCGTGTGTAGGGGAAACTTGGCACAGGTCTGTTTTCATCCACACCTTTCCTGCTTCAGGCCATGTTATAGTATCACAGAATGGCTTGTGTTGGAAGGGACCTTAAAGACCATCTCGTTCTTCTCTGAAGCTGTGGATGTCCCATCCCTGGAGGGACTCAAGGCCCAGGTTGGATGGGACTTTGAGCAACCTGGTCTGGTGGGAGGTGTCCCTGCCCAGGGCAGGGGGGTTGGAACTTAATGATCTTTAAGGTCCCTTCCAACCTGAACCATTCTGTGATTCCCTGGGCAACCTGGGCCAGCATCTCACAGCAAAGAATTTCTTCCTAATATCTCATCTAAATCTCCTCTCTTCTGGCTTAGAACCATTTCCTCTCATCCTTTGGCTCCCCTCCCTGATCGAGAATTCCTCCCCAGTTCTCCTGGAGCCCCTTTAGGGACTGGAAGGTTGGCTCCCCTCCCTGATTGAGAATTCCTTCCCAGCTTTCCTGGAGCCCCTTTAGGGACTGGAAGGGGCTCTAAGGTCACCCTGTAGCCTTCTCTTCTCCAGGCTGAACACCCCCAACCTCTATTCTGTCTTATCAGCAACTCCTGTTTTGGTGCCTGAGGGATGTGTAGACATACTGCTCACCACCAGTGAGGTACCTTCACCTTCACTGTGCTGGCGGTGGAATCATGCCTGCACTCTCAGCTGTGTGTCAGTGGCCTTCTGCCTTATCAGCAGCTCCTGTTTTGGTGCCTGAGGGATGTGCAGACACACTGCTCACTGCCAGTGAGGTACCTTCACCCTCGCTCTGCTGGCGGTGGAATTGTGCCTGCACTCTCAGCTGTGTGTCAGTGGCCTCCCAGTGCTCTGGAGAAGGTCTTCTGAGACTTTTCTTATCCACAGGTGCAGGCAGTGTTGGATTGTGCTTCTTCCTGGAAACTACAAAGCTGGGCCTGAGCCCGGTACCTTCATCTGTACAAGCCACCAGCAGCCAGACAATGTCCAGATCTCTGGTCTTCGCAGCACGGGGAACAAACCTGAGAGTACCCCAGCCCCTGCCACTGCCAGGGCGTTCCAGAAAACAGCAGAACCCAAGAAACCAGAGCAGATGTTGAAGAAATCCGGCCAAGAAGGCCTTGCTAATTCAACCAAGCCATCTGTTTCATCTTCTGGAAGCTCTGGCTTCAAAAGCGTAAATACTCCTTGGTCCTCTTCACCTGTAAATAAACCAAATGACTGCAGAGGTACCCCGTTGGGAAATAAAACAGATCACCCTGAAGGTACCTCCTCAGGGCCTCTTTGGACAACCTCCACATCAAAAACACAGCAAGCCCGAGACAATTTTTTTCGGTCATCGGAGTCCTCCAGCAATAAAACCTCTGACACTAAAAAACAAGTCCCTTCTTCTCATGACCCTGGTAAAACCACCTCTGCCAGAAGCACTGCTGAGGTCAGGCCAGTGAATGCTGGGAAGGATCAGGCACGTAACCACATTATACAGGCTCTGGCTGGATCTAACGCCTCCCCAAACAAGCCAGGAGGACCCAGTTCCACTGGCTCCTCAGCATCCAGCAGGTAACTGCTATTTCTCTGTCCCTCTTTACTCCCAAGATAATCCTTGGGATAACTTGGAGATCTCCCTGTGTCTTTCCTCCCTTTTCCCTGACTGCTTTAGTAGCTAAAATTTAAAAACCTGTAGAGGAGCTCATCCTCTTTGGAACAGAGGCCAGTAAAAGGGTTTGTCCTTTCAAAAAGACTCATTAGATTGTTCTTTTTTGCAGTGGCAAGTTTTCTCCCAGCAGTTCTCAGGGGCAGAGTCCAGCTTCGACAGCCCAGTCCAGCAAAACAGGGTACACAGCACCAAAACAGGAAAAGATCCCAGACCCTCTGCCCAAGAGCCAGGCTGGCAGCAAACCTGTCAGCTCTGGGCACAAACAGGAGGCAAAAGGCATCAAAGGTGAGTTTGACAGATTCACGTGGAGCTCTGCTGGACACAACATACCAATGTATGGTTTGCTCTTGGACCAGTGTGTCACTCTTGTACTTTCTGTCTGTACCACCACATAAGGGTTTTCTGCAGTTCTGGGGCTCAACACACCTCCATTTGTCCCTTTTTAATTGCTCCCTATAGCATGGCAAGTTTTTCTTCTCTGAGGATCTCCAGGTATTTGAAGTTGTACTAGCTGTCATTAAACATTGGGATCGTGGTGGATTTCAGAGGCTTAGGTAGACTTTCCCAAACCTTGTCTGAACTTCAGGGTGATTTTGTGACTGCAGCTGGGGCTCACCCACTTCCTTGTCATGATCTTCCACCATGATGACTGACCAGTGGGCTGAGGGATTGTGTTCTGGGGGTAACCAGTGTCTCAACCACTTCCTGTCATTTTTGGGGCTAGAAGCAGTATCTGTCTGCAGTTTGTTGTGAACATGTGGATTTTTTTTCTCTCCCCCTCTTCCTGCCCCATCCTTTGGTCTCGGAGCTCTGGGCTGGTTGTGTTACATTGCTGTTGAACGTGGCTGTTTGCTTACACCGTGGCTGTGTTTCTGTAGCTGCGTAGGGGTTAGAGCATTTGAAAGGGGTAATATACCACCAACGTTGTTTACTACCTATGGTATGTGAATTCATCTCTGTTAAACTTGTTGAACTGGTGATGCTTTGCTGCAATAACATCACAGTATCTACCCCAGTGCATGGCTTGTCTCCTAAGATCCTCCTGAGACACAAATCTGCCTTGTTTCTTTTTATTGGATCTGATATTATCTTGCTGTGTCCCTTCCTTTAGGAAGCACGAACACTGGCGAGGACAAGTCTGAGAGCCCAGCAGACTGGAGATCCCTGTTGAAGCCTGTGGCCAACAAGTGAGTGTCTTGGAGATGGTGTGTCTCTGTGGCAAGTGTATGGGGATGTCCATCTCGGCAGCTGTGTTTGTTGCTGCAGGTCTGTGTGGACATAGAAGGAAAGAGTTCCTGTGTTTTAATGCTTCTGTTTTCAACAATTTGATGGAAAAGGCAAAGGATTTAATTTTTGGGGAGGGAAAAACATATTTTGAGTTGCTGGACTCTGATTAGCTGGATCTGATGGAGATCCAGCTCAGGATGTCCAGAACTCTTCCTGTGGACCGTTCTGGAAGAGGGATGGTTTCCTACCTTTGTCTTTCTTCTTTGCAGAGACCAAGGTGGCTCTAAGAAACCTACTGATACCTCCCAGGTGGGAACAGGGAGCCCAGCACACAAGGAGACAAAGCCAAGTCCATTAGTTGTCCCACCAGCAAAGCAGGACTCCGGTATGAAGGATATAAGCTTTGCCTTCATTTTGCTAGTCAGGCAGGGGACAGGCATTAGTGCTGCAGGGAACACGTGAGGAGAAGTTGGTGGAGATTGTGCCTTGCTTTCAAGGATTCTTGCTCTCTGCACCTGCTTTGGCTCTGTGGTGCCTTTATTTGGAGAGCCAGCCTTCCCTGAGGAGGGGGACTCGGTCTTCTCAGGGTGCCCTTCTTCTGAAAGACAGCTAGTAAGGTTTTGCTTGCTCTCTCCTGCATAAATGTGTAACGGTGAGGAATCTTGGTGATGGTTCCCAACTGTTTATTCTTCTCCTCTGGCCTTGTAATTGGTGGTTTCTCCCTTTTTCCTTTGGGCTTGTGCCCCTTGCTATCATCAAGAGAGGAGAACTAGGACTAGAAATGAAGGAGGCTAGGAGTTTCTCCCTTCTTCCTTTCGGCTTGTGCCCCTTGCTATCCTAGAACTAGGACTAGAAATGAAGGAGGCTAGGGGTGAGTGCCAGAGACACTGGGCAATAAAGGGATTTTTAAGAGACAAAGGTTGAAATTTCTTACCCAAAACCTGTCTGTCTTCTTAATCCAGCTTCATCTGGTGGATGCATGAAGAAGAAGTTGATCCCCAGCTCAGATCTTATCAGGAGCTGTCAGAATTCAAAGCAAGGCTGGGAAGACCCTGTGAGCTCTGCCAAGGAGGAGAAAGAGGGCAACCAGTTGAAGAAAAGCACTACCACATGTAAGGTTTCTGCCTGCTTAAAGGCACTCTCTCCTCTGCGCTGTCAAGGGACAGACTGAGTGGTCAATGTGGGACATGTGTCCCTGAGATTGCTGTGTCTGAGCCTGTAGCTGTTGTCATTGGGGAAAAATCTGTGTCATTAATTTTTATTAGCCAGCTTGGCCTAAGCAGGAACCAGCCAGGACAGAGAATTCAGTGGGAAAGGAGTAAATTAAAATAGGGATTTTTCAGGGTCACTGCCCTGTCATTCTTTAGACTTAGAGCTATGAAGAGGACCATCTCCTAATTCCTGGAATTGGGATCTAGTTGATGTCTCTGTTCCTCTCCAGTTGAGTGGCTTTGGGAAATGAAAGGAATGCAGAGAACTGTCAGCCAGAGACTCCAGCTGGCGGGACACATGATAGCAGTAGCCAAGGCTGCTGCTTCTTGTACTTTCAAAGATGCTCTGACCAGTTTGTCCCTACCCTTAATCCAGCTTTGTTCCTGTATGTCCCTATCGTCCAGCTTAGGAGGCTGCATATCTGGAAAACAACTGGTCTTACTGTTAAAAACTGAGGCAAAGAATGCAATAAATACCTCAAACTTTTCTTCATCCTTTGTCATTATGTTTCCCCTCGCCTCTGATAAAGGATGGAGATTCTCCTTAGTCCTCCTTTTGGTGCTAATGTATTTATAGAAATTTTTTTTGTTGTTTTTTATTAAGTTCTAGATGGGCTAGAAGTTTCCTTTAACGAGCCTGATGTTTGCTGCTATCCTGCTTTTTTATTAAGTTCTAGATAGGCTAGAAATTTCCTGTAACGAGCCTGATGTTTGCTGCTATCCTGCTTGCTCAGCTTGTTTATTCTCTCCTTGCCTTACCCCATCTGGCTCTGCCTTATCTGTTTAGACTAGAAGGTCCTCGAGGCAGGGCTGAGCCTGGACTTCGATGTTTGTCTCGGAGCAAGCAGGATGGGTCCTGATGGCCTGGTGGCCTCATGCTTTAGTATTTGTTGGCTGATTCCAGCATTGTCCTTAGCCTGCACCTCTGACAGCTACGAAGCATTCAAGCCCAAATGTGTTGTCTGTTTTAAAAACTTAGCATCATTTTTCAAAAAATTTCCATCTCTTTTTTTCCTCAGACTCAGCCGTGAGGTTCAGGATTGCATCTCTCCCAGGAAGCACCCTGTTAAGATAAGGGAGCCTGGGTTTATATCTATCTTTCTAAAGTTTAATGATTGCTGTTGGGGAGTGCCTGCTCTGGGAAACTTTCCCAGCAGTCTCCCCCTGTTTTTCACATCCATGTGAGTCTGTCAACTGAAAGGCTCTTCTCCTGCTGCTGTCACTTGCCAGCCTGTGGGTTAAGGATAGACTTTTTGCTCCTCTGTGTAGGTCTTTACCCCAGCACTTAGAAAGCTGCTGTGAAGAGTCAGCTACTATTTTCCTGCCCTTAATCCTGCCTGTGTGGTGTGGGGCTGTGGATGGTGAGCATTTCTGTAGACCATTAGGTTTTCTTTGGTGTAAGTAGTGTCTTCTCTTGAGAAAGGAGGCTCCAACTGTCCTGTTTCCAGTTTGCAGGCAAGCAGCCAACCCATCTTGTGTCTCAAGACAGAACTTGAGGATATGGGGGGATATCAGACCCTGAGCTGGTCAGGACAACATCGTTTTTCCCCTCTAATGACCTTGGTTCCCCTTTCTGCCTTGGTTGGAGAAGCTGCAGAGATCAGCCAGGAGTGTGGAGATGCAGAGCTGAGCTGGAAGAGGGAGGTGTTGCTCAGGTGGCAGCATGAAGGCCAGGTCCTTCTAGGAGGAATCTTTAAGAAAGGTGTGAGTCACAGGTAGCGTAGAGGGCAACAAACCAGCAGCATCCAGAAGGAACAGTGACCTGATGGAGGCCAGCAGCGCAGAGACAACACAGCTGATGGCCACATCCAGCATCTTATCCTTTTGCACGCTTAGAAAAGGCAGCGGAGCAAGGACTGGGCAAGTGGAGAGATGTCCTTGAGCTCTTCCTCGAGTCACCACCAATTTCCAGGGACTCTCAGGGGACTCCCCTTGTCTGTCTGTCCTGTCTTTCTCCTTGTGCATGCCGAGCCTGTGCTGCTGCTGCCTTTCTTACAGCCCTGCTCTTTTCATACTAGGGTTTTCCCTCCTATCACATCATCCACGTACGCCGCTGTTCTCTCTCTGCGGTAATTATCCAGCCCGGCCCCTGGGGTACCCGAATACCTCACACTCTCCTGTAGTTATCCTTGCAGCACAGTTGGGCAGAGGAAGCTGAGGCACAGTGGAACAAACACACGTTGCTTAAGGATTGATTTTAATAGGTGTCCAGGGCCTAAATAATGCTGTGTAGTGGGGCTTAAGGGACTTCTCACCTAAGGAAGTGTTTTGTGGAAGGAATTGAACCTTAGTTTCCCGAGGCTTTTGCTAAGGTCCCCTAGACCATCTTTTTTTCATCAGTATTTACTGATACTTCTTTGTACAAGAGCACTTAGAGGGGCATTTTGAAGTATACCTTGGTGTTTCCTGTGACAGTAACCCAGTATTTCTGTTCTATCCTTTGAAAGCTTAATAAGGGGTGGCTTTTACCCCGCAGTAAGTATCTTTGAGTTTTAAGAAGACAATGAATGAACACAGAAGTCAATATTCTTGGTGTAAGCTCCCAGGTCACACCTGAGTTAGGTGACTGCCTCTGCCCTGCAGACACATCTCTCCTCTGAGTCAGGCATGTCCCTGTCCGTGCCCTCTGTTGTGCTTTCTGGTGATGTAGGCACTGTCCCATGCCCCCAAAATATTTAAAGTTTGTTGTGACAGTTTTTTGCTTTTTTTTTTTTTTTTCCTCTTGCTTCTAGTTAAACCTTCTGTTCCGGAAACCATCCGGAGCCCTGAAGCAATGTCCCCAACCAAGGTATGGCTGGAAACCCGGTGTAAGGGGAACAGGCTGGGGTTGCTGGGTATCCTGCTGGTGTGCTTGCTCAGAAACATATCTGGGTTTGTCTTATTGGGAGGGTTAATTTGAATTCCTATGGAAAGAATTCTCTGTGGGGCAAAGAGAAGATGGAGAGACTGATAGTTGTCTCCCATCCAGGGGGACAATAAAGGCTGGAATGAGGCAATGCCGAACAAAATTGTGGTAGAGTCTGTTAGGGCTGTGAGCTCAGCAGGCAGCCTGAGGGCACTAAGCTGTATTTGTTCCTCGTTTTGGTTTCCTAGCTGCACCCAGACTACCTCCCTGAGGAGGAAATCCAGGAGAAGGTCCGTGACATAGAGAAGCAGCTGGATGAGCTGGAATTGAAAGGAGTGGAGCTGGAGAAGCAGCTGCGTGGTTGCGAAGGAGGTAAAGATGACCAGGGCCCAGCTCTGTTTTGGTGGGAAGGTGTCAGGCTCAGGTCCTACCCCTTGGTAGGAGCATTATTGGCTCCATTTCTAGGAGCTCATGCTACATGTGAGACACCAGGTTACCAAAGGTACCTGGTACAGCAAGATAAAACCCTGGGAACTTCAAACCCTCTGGCTTTTTCCTAACATATTGGTTGAGCAAGGTCTGGTGTTTATTTGGCTGAAGATGAGGGAGTCTGGGAAGTGGAAGGCTGGGCTTTGGATCCAAAGCCAGGCTGGCCATCGTGGCTAGCTCCAATTTGACAGGGCTCAGTGAGTTCATTCACAGCACCAGAGCTGGGCCAGCCACATGGAAGATGAGTTGGGTGCCCTGTGGCAAATTGGGGGGGTTCAGCTTGGAGAAGTTCCTCAAGGGGCTCCAGGAAAGCTGGGGAGGGGCTCTTGATCAGGGAGGGGAGCCCTAGGACAAGGGGGAAGGGGTTGACACTGAAAGAGGGGAGATTGAGATGAGATCTGGGGGAGAAAATCTTTGGTGGGAGGATGATGAGAGCCTGGCCCAAGTTGCCCAGAGAAGCTGTGGCTGCCCCATCCCTGGAGGGGTTCAAGGGCAGGTTGGAGGGGGCTTGGAGCAACCTGGTCTGGTGGGAGGTGTCCCTGCTGCTATCCTGCTTGCTCAGCTTGTTTATTCTCTCCTTGCCTTACCCCATCTGGCTCTGTCTTATCTGTTTAGACTAGAAGGTCCTCGAGGCAGGGCTGAGCCTGGACTTCGATGTTTGTCTCGGAGCAAGCAGGATGGGTCCTGATGGCCTGGTGGCCTCATGCTTTAGTATTTGTTGGCTGATTCCAGCATTGTCCTTAGCCTGCACCTCTGACAGCTATGAAGTATTCAAACCCAAATGTGTTGTCTATTTTAAAAACTTAGCATCATTTTTCAAAAAATTTCCATCTCTTTTTTCCTCAGACTCAGCCGTGAGGTTCAGCATTGCATCTCTCCCAGGAAGCACCCTGTTAAGATAAGGGAGCCTGGGTTTATATCCGTCTTTCTAAAGTTTAATGATTGCTGTTGGGGAGTGCCTGCTCTGGGAAACTTTCCCAGCAGTCTCCCCCTGTTTTTCACATCCATGTGAGTCTGTCAACTGAAAGGCTCTTCTCCTGCTGCTGTCACTTGCCAGCCTGTGGGTTAAGGATAGACTTTTTGCTCCTCTGTGTAGGTCTTTACCCCAGCACTTAGAAAGCTGCTGTGAAGAGTCAGCTACTATTTTCCTGCCCTTAATCCTGCCTGTGTGGTGTGGGGCTGTGGATGGTGAGCATTTCTGTAGACCATTAGGTTTTCTTTGGTGTAAGTAGTGTCTTCTCTTGAGAAAGGAGGCTCCAACTGTCCTGTTTCCAGTTTGCAGGCAAGCAGCCAACCCATCTTGTGTCTCAAGACAGAACTTGAGGATATGGGGGGATATCAGACCCTGAGCTGGTCAGGACAACATCGTTTTTCCCCTCTAATGACCTTGGTTCCCCTTTCTGCCTTGGTTGGAGAAGCTGCAGAGATCAGCCAGGAGTGTGGAGATGCAGAGCTGAGCTGGAAGAGGGAGGTGTTGCTCAGGTGGCAGCATGAAGGCCAGGTCCTTCTAGGAGGAATCTTTAAGAAAGGTGTGAGTCACAGGTAGCGTAGAGGGCAACAAACCAGCAGCATCCAGAAGGAACAGTGACCTGATGGAGGCCAGCAGCGCAGAGACAACACAGCTGATGGCCACATCCAGCATCTTATCCTTTTGCACGCTTAGAAAAGGCAGCGGAGCAAGGACTGGGCAAGTGGAGAGATGTCCTTGAGCTCTTCCTCGAGTCACCACCAATTTCCAGGGACTCTCAGGGGACTCCCCTTGTCTGTCTGTCCTGTCTTTCTCCTTGTGCATGCCGAGCCTGTGCTGCTGCTGCCTTTCTTACAGCCCTGCTCTTTTCATACTAGGGTTTTCCCTCCTATCACATCATCCACGTACGCCGCTGTTCTCTCTCTGCGGTAATTATCCAGCCCGGCCCCTGGGGTACCCGAATACCTCACACTCTCCTGTAGTTATCCTTGCAGCACAGTTGGGCAGAGGAAGCTGAGGCACAGTGGAACAAACACTCGTTGCTTAAGGATTGATTTTAATAGGTGTCCAGGGCCTAAATAATGCTGTGTAGTGGGGCTTAAGGGACTTCTCACCTAAGGAAGTGTTTTGTGGAAGGAATTGAACCTTAGTTTCCCGAGGCTTTTGCTAAGGTCCCCTAGACCATCTTTTTTTCATCAGTATTTACTGATACTTCTTCGTACAAGAGCACTTAGAGGGGCATTTTGAAGTATGCCTTGGTGTTTCCTGTGACAGTAACCCAATATTTCTGTTTTATCCTTTGAAAGCTTAATAAGGGGTGGCTTTTACCCCGCAGCAATTATCTTTGAGTTTTAAGAAGACAATGAATGAACACAGAAGTCAATATTCTTGGTGTAAGCTCCCAGGTCACACCTGAGTTAGGTGACTGCCTCTGCCCTGCAGACACATCTCTCCTCTGAGTCAGGCATGTCCCTGTCAGTGCCCTCTCTTGTGCTTTCTGGTGATGTAGGCACTGTCCCATGCCCCCAAAATATTTAAAGTTTGTTGTGACAGTTTTTTGCTTTTTTTTTTCCTCTCCCTTCTAGTTAAACCTTCTGTTCCGGAAACCATCCGGAGCCCTGAAGTGGTGTCTCCAACCAAGGTATGGCTGGAAACCCGGTGTAAGGGGAACAGGCTGGGGTTGCTGGGTATCCTGCTGGTGTGCTTGCTCAGAAACATATCTGGGTTTGTCTTATTGGGAGGGTTAATTTGAATTCCTATGGAAAGAATTCTCTGTGGGGCAAAGAGAAGATGGAGAGACTGATAGTTGTCTCCCATCCAGGGGGACAATAAAGGCTGGAATGAGGCAATGCCGAACAAAATTGTGGTAGAGTCTGTTAGGGCTGTGAGCTCAGCAGGCAGCCTGAGGGCACTAAGCTGTATTTGTTCCTCGTTTTGGTTTCCTAGCTGCACCCAGACTACCTCCCTGAGGAGGAAATCCAGGAGAAGGTCCGTGACATAGAGAAGCAGCTGGATGAGCTGGAATTGAAAGGAGTGGAGCTGGAGAAGCAGCTGCGTGGTTGCGAAGGAGGTAAAGATGACCAGGGCCCAGCTCTGTTTTGGTGGGAAGGTGTCAGGCTCAGGTCCTACCCCTTGGTAGGAGCATTATTGGCTCCATTTCTAGGAGCTCATGCTACATGTGAGACACCAGGTTACCAAAGGTACCTGGTACAGCAAGATAAAACCCTGGGAACTTCAAACCCTCTGGCTTTTTCCTAACATATTGGTTGAGCAAGGTCTGGTGTTTATTTGGCTGAAGATGAGGGAGTCTGGGAAGTGGAAGGCTGGGCTTTGGATCCAAAGCCAGGCTGGCCATCGTGGCTAGCTCCAATTTGGCAGGGCTCAGTGAGTTCATTCACAGCACCAGAGCTGGGCCAGCCACATGGAAGATGAGTTGGGTGCCCTGTGGCAAGTTGGGGGGGTTCAGCTTGGAGAAGTTCCTCAAGAGGCTCCAGGAAAGCTGGGGAGGGGCTCTTGATCAGGGAGGGGAGCCCTAGGACAAGGGGGAAGGGGTTGACACTGAAAGAGGGGAGATTGAGATGAGATCTGGGGGAGAAAATCTTTGGTGGGAGGATGATGAGAGCCTGGCCCAAGTTGCCCAGAGAAGCTGTGGCTGCCCCATCCCTGGAGGGGTTCAAGGGCAGGTTGGAGGGGGCTTGGAGCAACCTGGTCTGGTGGGAGGTGTCCCTGCCCAGGGCAGGGGGTTGGAACTGGATGATCTTTAAGGTCCCTTCCAACCTGAACCACTCTGTGATTCTGTGATTCTATTTGTGAGCATCTTCCTTGAACCTGCAGGGAGTGATCTGCATCCTTCCCCTTGTACCCAGGGGTACCAAAGAGGAGCTGTTTTCACTTCAGGTTGCCTGTGTCTCATATAAAGGCTCTGCCTCAAGTGGTTGTGTGTTTAAGCCAGGGAGACCAAACTGATGCAGCTTCTGAAGGAGTCTTGCCCTTTGTCTCCTTTGCAGACGAGTCTGAGGATGCCCTCATGGTGGATTGGTTCAAACTGATCCATGAGAAGCAGCTGCTGCTCAGACAGGAGTCAGAGCTGATGTACAAGTAAGTACAACCAGAAATTCACCCGTCTGCTCATGCACGTCACCCGTGAGCAGTAAGTGGGGAAGGACAAGGAACGTGACAACCCAAAAAATAGTGTGCCAATTAGTAGGGTGAGGGAGGGCTTGAGGACATCTCTGGGAGAACTGGTAGCATCCTGAGCTGTTAGCTGATGGGTTAAAGCACTGCTGAGCAGCCAGGGTCTGTGATGAGTTTGTGGGGAAGGAAACCTTACAAATAGGCGTCACCCGTGAGCAGTAAGTGGGGAAGGACAAGGAACGTGACAACCCAAAAAATAGTGTGCCAATTAGTAGGGTGAGGGAGGGCTTGAGGACATCTCTGGGAGAACTGGTAGCATCCTGAGCTGTTAGCTGATGGGTTAAAGCACTGCTGAGCAGCCAGGGTCTGTGATGAGTTTGTGGGGAAGGAAACCTTACAAATATGATGAAGATTTCTCTTGCCCCATCCATACCCAGGTAGTCAGGGAGGCAGCGGTGAGGCTTCACAGTATGAGAAGGGTCCAGCCCTGGGGCACAGTGGGGCAGTAACTTGTTACTTCTGTCCTTCCTTCCAGGATGAAGCAGCAGGAGCTGGAGGAGCAGCAGTGGAACATCGAGACGGAGCTGCGGCATCTCATGAGCAAGCCAGGTAAGGACCAGCTGCTCTGAGTGTCCTGCTGGCCCCTGGAGCCCACCGCTCTGCATGCCAGCCCCAGGATGTCCTTCAGAGCTGCATGACACTGCCAGGGATTGCAGTTTCACTGCAGGGTGTCTCCTGACTGTGCTGTCAGGCTTGCAGGTGCAGATTCCCTGTAGCATCCAACCCACCTGCACTTCCTGAGGGGGTGTGAGATGTGCCCCTGAACGTGAGGATGATAAAATTTGGGCCTGTGAGAGGGACTTGCTGGAGCAGGGTGGAAGCAGGGGAGGTGGAACTCGCCTACAGCTGTGAGATGGGCTTCCCTTGTCTTGTGCAGAGGAACTGAAGACACCCAGGGAGAAGGAGCGAGAGAAGGAGCTGCTGGAGTCGTACCTGAACACGGTCAACGATCGGAATAATATCGTGGAGTGCCTGGATGAGGACAGACTCAGGTGAGGGCTCTCAGATGGTGGGAGATGAACCAACAGCAGGGATGATTTTCTCTACTGCCCAGGCTGTAGGGGTGGGTGAATGGCTGTAATCCAGACTTCTGCTCCATGAGAGGTGGGTGGTGACCTGTCACCAACCATCTTGTCCTAAATGCTGCTGCTGCTGCTGCCATTGCTTCTTTGGCAGCTGTTAGAAACTGAGATGAGGACCACAGCCATGTTCAGTGTGCTCTCTCCAGCTAATGCTGCTCTGAGGACAAGGGCTGTGAAAATGCAGGTGAGGGAAAGGCTGGAGCTGGGGAGGATGGAGGCAGCACTGGAGCTGCAGGAGGACTCTGGGAACATGAAGCCAGGAATGTGTTTGTCACTGCAGCAACTGAAAGAACAGCTGTAGCCAAGAGTTGGATCCTGCCCCGAGTTCAAAGGAAAACTGCTGTGTTAAGTAGCTGGATTTGTGCCTCCAGCTGCTGAGAGCAGCCTCTGTTTCTTGACCTCTGGGCAGTGACTCCAGCTTGGGGGTTCCAGTAATGCCCAGGTTTTTGGCTCTGGCCTTGCCCAGGCCCAAGGAGACAGCAGTGTGTTTGTCCCTGACTGCACTGAGCACCTCTGTGGCACCCCAGGCTGCTGGTGTCTCAACCTTTGTTCATCTCCTGGGGTGTGGTGGTGTCTCACAACTCAGTGAGCTGGGATGATTCATAGGCCCTGCTGGGGCAAGGGCCTCCCTGCTGCAGTGCTGGGCTGCACGGGCTGGAAATCCCCACACAGGGCCTTGATTTCAAAGGAACCAGATGCAGTTTGCTGATATTTAGGACTCCTCAGACCGGTTGGGTTTTTTCCTGCACCCTTCTCAGGGCGTGCTATGGAGGTTGGTTATTTTGATGAGGGGAACAACGGCGGTCTTTGAGGGGTTTTAGTGTCTACCACCTTGTCGTGAGACACGGCAAAGTTGTCTGATGCCACGTTGTTCCATTACAGAGAGCAAGAGGAGGACCAGATGTTGGCAGACATGATCCAGAGGTTGGGTAAGGGCCCTTTCTACTCTTACAGAGCAGCACTGGGTGGCACTGGGGCTGTGGGTCTCAACCTGCTCTGTGTCTGCTCCTTCTCCTCCAGATGGATCTTTCGAGAGCCAGGAGCCAGACAAGAAGAAGAACAAGTTCCGCTTGTCCAAAATATGGAAGCAGAAAAATAAGAATAAAGCTCAGGACTGATGTTCCTTTGCCCAGTGGCCCAGAGAGGGCCATCAAAGAGATGTTCCTTCCTCACTGCTGCTTTCCTGGAGTCATGCAGGACTGTGATGAGCCTCCTCTGCTCCCTGACAAGGAGCCTGCAGGTTTGTGGACCTAATGGACGGTGTGAATCCCCTCTGGCGCTGGGATAGGGCCCAAGAATGCCTTTCCCAGAAGATGGACTTGGAAGACTGTTTTCCTCTTTGGATCTAGCTCAGAGCTGGCTTCAGCCTCGTTGGCAGCTCAGGAGGACAGAGCTTGATTTGCCCATCCTCAATGCAGGAGCGTGGCACTGCATTGTCACCCCACGGTGCCCCCCACTCAAACTGGGCTGTGCTGCTCTGCAAAAGGTCCTTCCTCCCTCCTGTCCTCCCTCCTTGCATGTGCTGCAGCTCTGTGGCCAGGATCAGAGACGCAGAGAGGGAGGTGCTGTGGGGCAAGAGAGAGTGAGGGTCTTCCCCTTATTGTACCAGTGCAAACTGGAGCTGTGGGCCCCACAGCCGAGGGGAGGCAGAGAGCAGAACCACCTCCATATCTATGGGGTGGGATGTCCTAGACCCAGAGTGGCTTCAGCAATAGTGCTCTCTTTGCAGACCTCCTTCTGGGAGCCATGAGAGCTTGCTCACTGCTTCATTCCCTCTGTGGGGGACATTAGTAGCTTCCTTCTTCCTCTGACTGCCCAGCGAAGCAGGGTTCTCCTTGCCCACCCTGCTGGAGACAAACAGAAGTCTTCTTTTAACAACCTGGTGCTAACTGGGAGCAGAAGGGAATTCATGGGTTTGCCTCACCCACTAGTCTTCCATATGAGACCAGCATTTCATCTCCTGAGGCTCTGTCCCTGGCCAGCCAGCGCCCTCAAGGGGTGCTGTGGTCCGCCTTGGTGGGACCAGGAGAGTACGAGCAGGTCCTGGGCTGTTGGCAATGTCTTTCCACTCTTCCCTCAGTCTGGAGTGACTGGAGCCAGACCCCTGCCCCGTGTGGCATCCCCCCCTCTTCCCAGTCACCTCGGGGGGCGAGGATGGAGATGGGCAGAGGAAAGATCAAGAATAATTTGTGATGTCTCTAACTCGGCTATACGTGGACTTCCCTACCCTTCCCTCCTGCAAGCCCAGGTACTTCTGAGCGTTCTTGGGTCCTCTTGTCCAGCAGGAGAGAGTTGGAATTTTGCAGGGAGAGGGTTTGGTGCCCGCTGTGCCCGGTGGCAGAGCGGAGGCGATGCGTCCCTTACCCACGAGGTGGCAGTGGGACTCTCTGTCCTGGGCACCGCAGGGCTCTGCTGGGACAGGGACCCACCAACCGAGGGGCTTCCTGCTGCCCACGGCCTGTGCCACGTGTGGACACGGGGTGGGTCACCCTGTACCTGCATATGCTTTTGTCCAATAAAAAGTTGCTGGAGCGAATCTCCAAAGTCCCAGCGTGAGTTTGGGTGTGGATGGCTGGGCTGTGCGCTGCCCTGGTCGGTGTGAGCGCTGAGGGTCCCTCTCCAGAGCTCTGAGGGGTAGCAGGAGCTCAACGGAGCTGGGATGGAGAGGTTCTCCTGCCCAGAGCTTGGAGACCAACAGCAGGTCCTGGGAGAGCAGCCGTGCTGAGGGGCTTCTCAGGGATTTCGTTTACGAGTCAAACTCCTCCTGGCTCTTTCCTGGAACAGGGGAAAAAGTGCATTTTCCCCTGTTCTGCTTCAGCATTGTACACATCCCCACGCCTCGTGGGACCCCAGCCCAGCCAGCAGTCTGGGGGAGAAGATGGGAGGCAGGGCTTGTTCCCTGGTGTTGGTGACCCAAGTGGCTGAGCTGTGGTTTCATCAGGTAAAATGCTAGTGCTGCCACTGCTCTCCTTGCTCCATGCTCTTTTTTGGGGACATGCTGAGTGCAGGGGTTCAAGGCCAGGTTGGATGGGGATTGGAGCAACCTGGTCTGGTGGGAGGTGTCTCTGTCCAGGGCAGGGGGTGGGACTGGGTGGTCTGTAAGGTCCCTTCCAACCCAAACTGTTCTGTGATTCTATGAAGTTGTCTCTAGGTAGAGAAATTGAGAAGAGGAGAGGAGATGGGGCCCCACCTCCCTCACCACACCACCGGGAACAAGAGGTGTGAGGCTCAATTATTCCTACACCAAAGGTGATGGGGTAAATTGTGGAGCAGTGATCCAGAGGCACCCTGCCCAGAGACCCACACTCTTGTCAGTACTGATGGATGGCTCCCTGGTCATGGCCAGGATCTACCAGCCCCAGCTCCTGCACACCCAGTCAGCTGCTGGTTGGGAAGATGAGGACAACCCAGCTTGTTCCTCCTTCCTCTACCTTGAGTTTGGGACTCGGAGGATTTGCAATTTCCACCACTCTCCTAAGCCAAGGCTTGAAACGAGCCCGAGACGAACTAAGCCCTTGGCTGTGGTGGAGAAAAAAGGGAAGGGCTTTTTTCCAGCTGGCTGCTTTGGGCTGAGCCCATTCCCTGCCTGATCCCCCTTTGCTCTCCCAGTGCAACCAGCTTTGCTCGCCCCATGGAAGGGCTCCAGGAGGCAGAGCAGGAGGATTTGGCCTTGGGACTGAGCGGGAAGGGGGGTGTTGGGAAACCAGCTCTCAGCTGTGCCTCTCCATAGCAGTCACCCGGGGTAATTAGGCAATCCAGGCACCCTCCTGTAAACGAGCAGGAACCAAATTCCTCCCTGTTCTCTGTGGGAAGGGACTGTTTGTGCTCTGCTCCAGCCCCATCAGAGCCTGAGCCCCGATTTCAGGCCAGCAGGGGGTCCACAGGATGCTGTGTGCATGTGGGTGCCTGTGTTTCGTTGATGACTGAGACCTTCATTGCTCTTCTAGATCAGCTGCTCCACTTCTGAAAGGGTTTTAAGGGGGCTGAGCTTCCCAATCCTTCCCTGGTGGCCTCTGGTTGGGTCTTGGTGGCCTCACCAGCTCCTGGATAACCGGAGTGCTGCTGCCTCTGCTTTCTCCACCTGCAGATGAGTGCAGGGGACTGTACAGGAGCTGCATCCCTGAGCCTCTGTCATTTCGGATGCTCTTGGGGGTCCTTCTGCAGGCTCGGGGTGACAGGGAGGCTGCTGTCTGCTCCAGCACGTCAAGACTTGCAGATGAAGCTGTGATTAGGCAGCGTGTGTGTGTGTGTGTGTGTATGTCTCTCTCTCTCTCTTTCTCTCTCTCTCTCTCTTCTGCCGTTTTCTTTAATTACAATCTCGGAGGTAATTTCTGACGCATCATTAACAGTTCTGAGTAAACAAGGGGAATTCTCCAAATTATTCGCCATGAGCACAAAGGGAAATTGACTTTCATCGTCTCCCCCTTCATCCGAGGAAGAAGCTGAGCGGTGGCAGGCGCGGGGAGGGAGGGAGCATCGTGGCTGCCCTCGGATGCCTCCAGCCAACTTGATGGAGCAAAACCCACCCAGTTCATCCACCTGATGGAGAGGCCACTGCTGCCTCCAGCTTTTGGTCCCTTCTGCTGGGCAAAGTGGCCAGGGCACTAAATGCAAAGTGCCTCTTGCCTGGGAGAGCTTTGGGCGCTGCTTTTGAGCGTCCACCTCCCGTTTCCAGCTGGACAAATGGGTACCTGAGCTGGGCAGGAGACAGGACACATCAGAAGCATCCTCAAGGCTGTGTCTCATGGAAGGTGACTCTCTGGTTCTTGGCTCTCAGGCTGAAGGGTGATGCCTGAGACCAGCGCAGGGTTGGGAAGGCAAGGATGGAGCAATGGTATGGAGGGACTTGGGGCCTGGTGGAACTGCTGGACCTCTTGGAGTGGGTGCAGCAGAGGCCATAAAGATGGTCAGAGGGGGCTGGAGACCCTCTGCTGTGAGGACAGGCTGAGAGAGTTGAGGGGGTTCAGCCTGGAGAAGAGAAGGCTCCAGGGAGACCTTGGAGCCCCTTCCAGTCCCTCAAGGGGCTCCAGAAAGCTGGGGAGGGACTCTGGATCAGGGAGGGGAGCCCTAGGACAAGGGGGAAGGGTTTGACACTGAACGAGGGGAGGTGGAGCTGAGATGTGGGGAAGAACTTGTTTGCTGTGAGGGTGGTGAGAGCCTGGCCCAGGTTGCCCAGAGAAGCTGTGGCTGCCCCATCCCTGGAGGGGTTCAAGGGCAGGTTGGAGGGGGCTTGGAGCAACCTGGTCTGGTGGGAGGTGTCCCTGCCCAGGGCAGGGGGTTGGAACTCAATGATCTTTAAGGTCTCTTCCAACCCAAACCATTCTGTGATTCTATGAACTGGGTTTGGTCCAAAGCAAGGACTCAGAAGGATGCTGGTGTGCTCTGTGAGAGCAACAACACGCCTGGCAGCTGGGGTGGCAGGAGGTGGCTGGAGAGGACTTCTTAGCTGGGACTCCATGGAGTTCCAGCCTCATGGAGGTCTGGAGGGAAAGGGGCTTTGTTAGAGGGGTGGCACGTGGAGCTGGGATGAGGTGGTGGCACCCCTTGGAGCACCCACACCCTTTGGAGCACCCACACCCCTTTGCCCTGCTCCGGCGCGGCGGCTGCGGCAGCAACAACCCAGGGAGCGAAGGTTATTTGATATTCATGCTGCAGCTCTGCCAGCCATGACTCTGTTATCTGCCAGGCATGAATATTATTTGAATACGGAGTTTGTCGTGGCCATTCTTCCGCGTGAAACGAGGGATTTGCTGTGGGATGGGAGCCCTCCCTCCGGCTGTCACTCAGGAGGGGTTTCCTTTTCCTGTCTCGTTGGAAGCCGCGTCCCCAGCAAGGTGAGACAGTGGACACTTTTTCTCTTGTTAATATCCATGTCTAATCTCCTCTCAGAGGGGCCCTTTGTCCTAGACTGTAGCCAAGATGAGTAATTCAGGGATAGATGAGACGCTATAATTGGTTTGTGACAAATTAAAACATTTTTTCCTTGGGAGCTGAGAGCAGGACTGTGGTCTGGAGCTGTCAAGCGTCACAGGGGAGGGCGATTTTCGGAGTAAGCGCATTGCAAATTGGCTCCAGATACGCCTTGGAGTCTGAAATTAAACTCCAGCTGGTGACTCTCTTCTTGGTTGGGGTTTTATTTTAAGGAGGGCACAAAGGGAACGTGTTGTGGGGAGGGAGAACCTCATCGATAAAGAGAATACGATGAGCTGGGGGCCGGAGCGAGCCGTGGTGGGGATGCTGGAGGGAACCCAGTGGTGGGATGGGAGTGAGCAAACCAAGAGCCAGAGCCCAAGGTTGCCTCCCTTCCCTCCACGCTGCTCTCAACGGTTCCTCCATCACATCCCGGAAAGGAAGGACCATGATGGAAAGTTGGAGCTCACACCATCTCTTCCCCTTGGTCTCAAGTGGGCGCCAGCTACAGAAGCTCCTCAGGAGCTGGTCCGTGCCCTGTAATACTTGTTTTTTCCAGGATAAGGAGAGTCCCTCACCTCCACCTGGAGAGCAGACCAGATAAAAGTCAAGAATACAGAGATGATGGGGACAGACTGTTTGATGAAGTTCTTGGTTTGACCCCAGGCTGTTTATGAGCTTTTGAGCAAAGGGATGAAGGTGGGAGGAAAACAACCTCTTGATGCACCTCCTCGGTGCTGATTAATGGAGAGAGCAGTGGCATCTCCACCTGGTGATGGAGATGGATGGAGAGTGAAGGAGTGTGTGGAGAGCAGACCTGGGAAGGACATGGGGGCTGTAAAGGGGGTTTAAAAAAAGGCAAGAGGAGTCACCACGTGGGCTGGTTTGGGTGTAAAAGGAGGTGAGGAAGGAAGCTGTGAGATGGGAAAAGTGCACAAAGTCCAGAGGATGAGGGTGTTGAGGCTGGGCCTTGCCAAGGTGGTAGGGTGGAGACCACAGGCAGGTTCAATATGGGAATGGGTCAGATGAGTGGAGACGAGGCCTTGAATTGTTTGCCTCAAGATTTTGGATCTGATAATGAAGAAACAGGAGGCCCAAGGAAGGGGTGCCTTGAGTTTTATGGGGGTGCCATGTCTTAAAGTGCAGGAGACAGTCTGGAAGAGAAGCTTGAAGGTATCAAAAAAGGGACAGCACAAAGACTGTCAGGGAGTTGGAAGAGCTCAGATCCTGGAGGTGTCGGGTGAGGAAAGGAGGAGAAGATCTGGGCATCTCCTGGATGTGAAGAGTAAAACTAGCGGTCCAGGGTGGCAGGGTGATGGTGACGGGGAGTTGGAGGCCTTGGAAGGAGAGATCACAGGATCTAGTTTAGCAATAGAAAGTGCAGAGATGCAGCAAATCCTGAAAGGCAGGATCAGATGGTGAGCTGTGACTGGTGTCACTGGCATTAAGACGTTGGCTAATCCGGTTTAAGGGGATAAGCCCAAGGAAAACTGTGGAGACCTAAATTGGAGCTTGTCACTCTCCTGTGGAAAGCAGAAGGGTGGAGGAGGAGGAGGAGGATGATGATTTGCTGAGTGAGCCCCTGGATGGTGGGTCGGAGACAGAGGGCAGCTGGAGGAGGGCTGT